GAGAAAATCTATTTTAAAAACACCCACAATCTTTTATCCAGGGTTGGAAGTCGTCAAGAACAGCATGATTGAGAATGACAAATACTTGTGCTCCCAGTTTGGGTTTGTGATTCTTATTTGACACACATTCCCAATTTTATAGAACAGACGCAACTAACGTTCTGCATAACTCTCCTCCTAGTGCTACTATACTGTTATAGGCCTCTAAAGTTGCTCTCTGTTCTGTGTGTGGAGTCATGCTCATTCGGAATTCGGGGCCTAAGCTGAATTCTGAAAATACAAATATCGCTACATACAAGCTAATATTGCTGTGCACTGAACTATCATAACAAGACTGACAACCTCACCAAAATAAGCCAACATCATTTCAGTGCACAGGAGTGTTAGCTTGCATGTATCCCTTTCCATATCACAACTCCTTAACAACAAGAAAAAAATGACTTTGGGGCATTTTAGTTTACAACAGTGATTTTCAAACTCAGAGAAAAGTGACTTAGACCAGGCATGACGCCAACTACAGATAGACGCATGACTTCAGAGGTTATTTATGGGTCATCCTCCATTAGGAGTGGGAATTCAGGTGGATACATTTTTTAAAAAAATCAATTCTTTCATCCCAAAACTAAATAATCTTAATATGTCCATTAACATCTCCTATGAACATATATGCCAAAAGCAGAGCTTAATTCCAAACATATTTACACGTCACTGGTGTTATATGAATATGGTGTGACGCCAGTGACTGTGACGCCAGAGACATTCTGGTTAAAATTGAGGATTTTGGGTAAATTGGCGGTCAGGTAACCTTGTGCAACTATTTAAAATCAGTAATAAAAACAATATATGGCATTATTTTGACAAAATATTAATTACTCCGAATTTAAATCACATAACACCAGTGACACACAGAAGTTATGTGCTGCCTGATAAACAAAATTATTAATAAATGAATGAAATACAGTGCGTAATTATGGATGCGCCTTCTCATGCCTTGAGATGCTTCCTCTCTGATGAGCCTTGACCCAAAGAAGCAATTGAATAGAGTTGAAAATACTGTGTTAAAATGTAAAATAAGAGTCCTGACAACACCAGTGACCAAAATGTGTGACAAATGAATTTTTAAAATAAAATACATATTGAAATGTAGTATTATGTTGATGATATAAAAAGTAAACCTGAATCTTTTTTTATACAAATTCCTATGTTAAACCTCTTAAAAATATGGTTTCTCGAATGTTGAACACTGGTTTTGTGACGAGCTGTTTTACATATGCAGGGCGACTATGAAACAAAAAAAAAAAGAAAAATCAGAGAAATCATGACGAAAAAATATTATTTAATCAGGGGGGCAACTGTGTAAATGTATCTACCAACTATTGGAGCTGTGCCTAATATTTTAAGCATCTTTTTTTAGCCCTGCAACCCTTGTGACATGGTTTCCCACTCCAAATGGAGAATGACCCTTATGACAGAGTTTAGCTGCTGTTCATCGTGATTTTATGACGGGACCACTGAGATCTTTTCACAATTCACAACTAACAATTAAAATATGAAATATCATTGCTAAAGAAAATTCCTGAAGAAAATGCAGGGTGATTGCGCAGCTTAAGCAGTTGCTAGATGGTTGCTAGGATGCTGCTAATGGTTACTATGGCATTTTAGGTGGTTCCTAAGGTGTTGATAACCATTTGTTATGGTGTCCCAGTTGGTTGCTAGGTGGTTGCTAGGGTTTTGCTAGGTTGCTGCTGTGGTACCCTACGAGGTATTGGTAACGGACTTGTATCATTATGATAAGTTGGGTGCACAAACATCCCCCTCACTCATTCATTCCTACTGGATGATTGTACGAAAACCGTATGTCTGATCAAAAAGCTGTGCACCATTCCCGATCAGACCAACATTCCGGAGCTGGAACGCTGTCAATATCTCAAACACTGTGGGACGAGTTAGTGGAAAGAAAAATGGGAGAAAAATGATAATAATAATAATGCTAATAATACTACTACTACTAATAATAACAATAATAACAACATACCATTGGAGAACAATAATTAGACTGGCAAATTTTAGTTATCAGAATTATAAGCCCATTAAAATCATTATTGACCACAATATTTTCAAATGAATCAGGCCCTAATTGTGAAGTTAATCATGTGAGGTTTTTGCTAATGAGACAATTACAAACTGATTTAAGGTTTTACTTTTTCCTTTACAGTGAAATTACACAGAGAACTGTTAGCAATTCTATGTCAAACCTTAAGCTTGTCATTTCTGAAGTGTTCAAAGTCTCCACTTTGATAAACTGCATTGTTAACGGAGGTTGACTGCTAATGAGATGACCGATTTGATCAAAAGATTAACCGCCTTACATACTAAGGCTTATTATTCAGTAACTACAGGGACTTCCATGCAAACTGGCTGAGCTATTCTTAGTTCTTAGTGTCTAATACATCTTTGGGCCCACTACCGGCCCTGGTCATTTAACGGGTTAACTGAACTGTGAAAGTGCCTAAAACTTGGCTCCGTTTTCTCCACATGCTGACCTTCTCTTTGGCCAAAGGATGCAAATCTTTTTTTTAATCAGCCACTTGCCCAGATTGAAATTAATGACTGCTGTCAGTGGAATATGTATTACATTAAGCCCTGCAGTTATGCACTGCTTTCTCAACTATACCTCTTTTCCCTCCTCTGAGAGTTCCGGAAGTTGAAAAATATTGATGGGTAGTGATAGCAGTTCCAAGCAACAGGACCTCCGGATTAACCTGTGCCAACACTGCACCAAGTTCAGTTACAAGACGCCGCAAAAAACAAGGGAAAAACTGACAAGCACTTCGTTAAGTAGGAGAATGAACTCTACCCAACAATCTCTCTCAGCCTCAGAAGCCAATAACCAGAAAGGTGGGATTTTATTCAGGACTTGAAATAAATATTTTGGGTTGTGCACTTACCAAACACAAACCACACAGAGCCTCTTGTGGTCAGCAAGTATGCTGAGAATTATCTCTTGTTCCCTTCCTCTTCACCAGATGTCCACCCACTGGTGTGCATAAGTAGAATGTTGGACTGTATCCAATGCTCTGCAGGGGTCCTGCTGCAATACATGCACATCCCAGCATCCTGTGGTTAGAAATTTTACAGGATTAATTTAGTCCTGCCATAAGCAGCTGATGAAATGCAGGTTGACGTGTGAATGTTGGGTAGAGTGTGGATATCTTTCCACTTTTTCTAATGCTACTACTGCGTTCAGTTACTGCCATAAGAGTGTAATCATGAAGTATGGCGATGAATCCAGATGGTATGGGACTCCATCTATAGTTATGGGTGCAGCTGTGGAGTTTGGCAGCTGGAGCTCTGCTGGCAGCCCACAGGAGCAAGTAGACGATGCAATGCCGTTCCAGCCACTGCACCCTCTAGCACAGCGTTTAACCATGTCATTTGCTGCTGCAGGAGCGCTGAACTGACGCTAAGCCTGTGCTCACACTCTCCATTTACAGAAGAGTGTGTGTGTGTGTGTGTGTGTGTGTGTGTGTGTGTGTGTGTGTGTGTGTCTCAGCCCTTCAGGATAAAATGTTAAGTATGCCAGGTAATAGGAGCCACAGGGCCTTCTCCATGTGGACAAAATGGCAAAAACAAAATAAAACCATACTAAACAAACAAATAAACAAACAAAAAACCCATCACACTCCCTCAACTGTTAAATCTCCAGTACTGTGCAGAAGCCAGAGACCCTTTCATTTATCTAATTTTCACTCTAAACAGCCATTAACTCGTTTGTTTTTCAGCTTCAGGGAAAAAAAAAAAACACAGAAGCCTTGACAACCAAATATCCAGTCTGTCAATGTTAATGCACGTTTTGCCTTTATTACAGCTTCTATTCTTTTCAGGAGACTTGCTTTCCATTTTTCAAAGAAATCTACAGGGATAGTTTTCCACACCTCCAAAGTTCAATCTTTGAAGTTGGTTGCATTTTTGTTTCTCCCAAAGACAAATTTAGACTCATCAGTCTATAAAACCTTATTCCACATCTCAGATGTGCAGTTTGTGTTCTAGTGCAAATTTTCTTTATCTTCTGGCTATTTTCTTTTCTCAGTAACAGCTTCTTGACAGCTACACATCCTTTCAGACTCATAGTGTTGAGTGAGTACATATCAGTACTCTGACCTTGAACAGTAAGTATCCATCCAAAAAGCGAACCATAAACAAAATAAAGAAAAATATTCTTCATCAATAGATAATTTTATTTAAAATATTATGTTACAATGTTTTATTCTACATGACATTTCCAAAGTTCAGCTTTCACTTGTACTGGTTAGTTGAAATCCATGTTTTAGATATAAAACTATCGTTTACGAATATCAATTGTTAATTTATATCATTAAGCTATATGAAATAAAGCATCACTGCTTGTCATCGATTCCATTTATAAATTAAATCCTTTCCCACCCACACCGGCCCATGACCTAAAAGAGCCTTATTTCAGTAGGCTATACTATCGTAAATAGACTTCATTTAATACCCTTGATTTAGCAGGAAAATATATATATATAAATTAACAATTTCAGTCAGAGGCTACAGTGAATGCTTTGTCAAAACGACATATAAGCAATACATTTACAAGTAAACTGTCGAACAAGGACAAACGCATTTTTGGACTCAACCAGCTCATCACTTAAAACTCTCGAACAGATTTTCCGAAAGACTTGAGCAAAGAAATAAAATCTTGTGTTAAAAGGCTATGAATTAGCAGAATTAGCTTGTTTTTGTTCATTATAATTCTTCATAACAGCTCATCTTGGTCATAAAGGTGTGTATTTCAAGTTCTCTATTTCAGCTGCAGGAGTGAAGCTACTTCATAGTCTTCAAAGTGGGAAAAGACAAAGTAAAAAAAAAAAAAACCCGAACACCACTCGCCTTGCAAATACATTCCGGTACATTCATATTCTTAGACATTTCGGACAAGAAAGTAACACTGACCACAGAAACTAACAGTTCTCATAGCGCTGGTTAACATTACGACACAGTTGCACACGTCTGTTTTTGTAGTTTTTTTTTTTTGTGTTTGTTTTTGGACACTTTAAAATGATAACGTCTGTGTTCTTACGAAATTATGACCACCGACTACAGACACAGCACACCCTTGAGGCAAAAAAGCCCTACTCGCTCTTCTTTTGAGTTACAATAAAAAAATAAAATTAAAAAACGACAACAACATGAACAGGTCTTTGCACTGAATTCTTATCACTGAATGTTTGTGACTCAGCAGTACACACTAATGGAGTTAGTCAGGTTTGTAAATACACAGAGCGCAAAAAAAAGCATGTGTGATATTACGCTGCCAAGGCAACAGCAGGATCTTCTCTGACCCTCCCCACACCGGTCCCCAACCCCACACACACATACATACACATACACACACACACGCACACGCACACACACACAAACACGTACAGCTGATAGGGCTGAATTATCAAGGAACTATTAAGGTTTTTTCACATGGATCGAGTATTCCCTTTAATTTATTAAAAGAATTATGGAGCACACTCACACTCTAAAAGAAAGAGAGAGAGAGAGAGAGAGAGAGAGAGAGAAGGAATGAGGGAGGGAGAGAGAAAAAGACCAAAAGAGTAAAAGAAAGATTGAAAGACACTGATAGAGAGACACACCAAGACAGAGTGAAAGAAAGAACAAAAGAGAGAGAGGGAAAGAAAGAAAGAGAGAAAGAAAGAAAGAAAGAAAGAGAGAAAGAAAGAAAGAAAGAAAGAAAGAAATATAACAACATGTTCATAAACGCCCAGACATCAATTTGTGTTCTGAGGAGGTTCAGACAGCTTCCTGTTCAGCTGAACAGAGTAAAGTTAACATTAATAAAACAGAGCTGGTATATCTTTAACATCCTGCTTTCCTCTTGCTCTCTCCATCCTCCCGCTTAATAGACGAGATGCAGTGCTATGCTCAGAGGGCAAATTACAGAGCCCCAGGGAGTCATTGCTCTGAAGAGCCTGGAAGACCTTTTAACTGTTCAATACAGTTAAAACTCTCTCTCTCTGTCTCACACACACATACACAAAACTGCTCCCTTTTTAAACTGCTAAACATGACCCAATCGCAAACACAAAATTGTTCTCTCCATCTCCCTCCGTTAGACTTTAGATGTGTAAGAAAACTCATTTGTATGTGGTGCTGCTGCCCCCTACAGGAAGACTACAGAACTGCACCTGAACATTAAATGACAACTCCCCACTGCTGACCATCTAAACAACCACTGTGCTACCGAATCCTACCGTTTTATTGCCGGCATTCAAAATTTACAATACCCTCTGCATGGAGTGACATTCACACACCTCATCTGCTTCCCCTTAGGAGCAGACACACACACACACACACACACACACACACACACACACACACACACACACACTCCTCTTACGGTAACTCTCCCATGGTTCAATCTCAGAAGCCTCTAAAGCAGTCTTGCACCTAACCAAAATTTGTTGTCCTTATTGCAAATGGCTGTTACTGAAAATTAACCGAGCGCCTCACAAAAAGAAAGCTAACAAGCACCTTTCCAAGTATTTTCCGACAAGTTTAGCCTGTGTTAGAGTGTTTTAGCCAGCGATGCTAAATCATTAACTACAGTGATGCTATTAAGCGCCTTTGTTCAGAAGAACATGTCTGAATCTAAGAGGACCACTAAGACAAGGTTAAACCTCAAAAATGCTTCAGTGAGCACCAGTCCAGCATTTTCAAAGCTCCATGAGTTTAAATGCTTCCGATCATAGTGTTAATAATCAGTTACTAACTTATACCCCCGTGCCTCAACTCAACAGTTTTAGCCACCCAGCGTTTCTCTTAAATAGCTCCAAAATCCAAACACACGTGCTGGCTCTGATCAGTCACATTAATGTAGTGCCATCAGCAACCAATTAAAAAGTGGTTGCTGGTCACTACACTGTGATGGTGACGAAGCGCCTTTTCTTCGACCGATGGTGGCTCATGCTGCGGTAGCGTCGCCCAACAGGAGAGCAAGAGCCTACTTCAACACCCAATGGTGCTGGAGCCCTCAGGCTGTCCTCTGCATTTCTGCATTTACCGGGTGATGAGGTGAATGTATCTACTGATGACATGAGCGCAGATCCTTTTGATGCTGTCCATTTGTAGCGAATTTGCCTCTAGCTTAGCTATGAGTCTGTGTCGCCATGGTAATAAGGGTTATTCTGAGTTGCCAAGGTGACGTGGCAGGCCTATGGAAACCCCCAGCAGCTGAAAGGAAGCCGTTTGTCCTCGTAGTAACATGGTTGTTATGGCATGGCCGGGGTGTTGCCGTGGTAACATGGTAATTAGGATGGTTTGCTCTACTGTCATGGTACAGCTCAGTTTATGGTGATCTCCAGAGGCCAGGAGAGGGATCCTTAAGAGGTGGCTATCTCGCCCCCTAGGTGGCGCCATCCCTTTTGTTGCTCCAGCGGAGAGAGGTACTCTGAAATGAAAAACATGAAATAAACCTCTTTTAGATGGTTGTCATTACGAGAAGTTTTTCATCCACATAAACAGGTTTATAAGGGCTTAATAATAATAATAATAATAATAATAATAATAATGACGTAAGATGGACTATATATAGTTCTATATATTTCTAACTCTAACTCTGTTGAAGTACAAAAGCATAGTTTCTATTAAGGCTGCAGATTTGTCCATAATAGAAATTATTATCAAAATATAACATAACAGCAAGGATAACTCAAAGCACTTCTACCACTGATATTTAAGTACATTTAAAAGCAAATCCTTCTGGATGTTTGTACTGAAGCACAAAGGGAAATTTTACTATTCCTGAAGTAATCTTTTACCAAGAGTATTTCTAGTATTCTACAGAAACACATTTCTATTTATATGTATGCGCACATATAGGGACATGTGTATGAAAATCATTTTGAGTTTGAGGAAATCAATATCTTCCATGTACCTGATATATGATGTTAACCTTATAAGTTACATTACCTTTGAAAACTGTAGGACAAAATGTTGTAACATACAAAAATCAGGCCATGACAAAAATATTACATGCCATTTAAGCACAATAACCAGTCTCATATTGGCTGTTATGTTAACAGAGATTCAGATGAGGCACAAAATGCACCCAATAAGAAAAAAATAGCTGAAGCTCTTGACTGTGTTGTTTGGAAGCATCATGGCCATATCATTAACATTTTAGGACACAACGCTAAATAAAAACAAAAAAAACTGCTTGCTTAATCAGTGTTCACTCTTAAGGAAGGTGAATATCAGTTTTTGTACTTCATATTTCTCCCAGTGGTCCACTTATGACATTTGTGTGTTTAAATACCAAAAAACATAATTCATTTTACCATAACATTTCCATCCTTTCTTTATCCCTTAAACAGGCTATTTTTGTTACTATGCCTTTAAGACTGATATATGCAAAAGAGCTCTGGTCTGATTGGCTACACTGTACTGTGCCTCATGCAAAAAGCAGTTCTGCCTGAAACACACTGTGTAACTTCAGCGTGAATGGGTAAGGCTAACCTGCCATAGGCTAAAAAGGTGGATTTATGTAAATGCATTGGCTTTCGTGACATCACGGAAACAAATCGAAACAGACTGTTTCTGCAGCTCTTCCCACGTATGGGCTGCACAGACTGTAGAGTAAATTGCATCTTTTGAATCTTTTGCAGTATTTATGTGCTGCATCAAACTCTTATTTCAAAAGTGAGAAAAATGTTCCAAGATATTGGACTTTTAAAATATGCAAATAAACTGAAGAAACATGTGCCACATTCTGAATAATGATTTTCAAGTTTTGGTTAATAGTTTACTTTCAATTAGGGCCATTATTAGAAGCATAAAAGTATTTGACTAAAAGTTCTAATCTAAGAAACAGAATGGTGACGTGAGGAAGTGTTCATCTGCATACTGAGGAAGTGTGAGTTTCATTTGAGAAGACCTTGTTCTCTCTAAAACAGAAATCACACGAAAACATGTGACAGAGCTGATACTTCGCCTCTAGTGAACTTCTTTGTCTGTGTTTGTGCTTCTACATGCACACTTTCACAGTATGAAAGAAATGCAGTGTGTAGCCCTTAAGAGTTTGAGAAGCATGCATGTGTGTAGAACGTTTAACTTGGCAGAAACGTACCATTGTTGCTGCAGTTCTTGTTGTCCTTGTCTGAAGCCTCCTCTTCCACCTTACACATTTCAGAGAGAAACAGAAGAAGTTAAACAAATGATAAGGATGCTCCAAGACTGTGAAAGTGCATTATATAGAGGCTCACCTCTTTTCGCCACTTGAGCTCACAGAAAATCCTCTCAAAGCACTCATGCATGTAGTTAAACTGAGAAGAGAAAAAAAACAGAGTTAATAGTAATGGCTTTCAATTAGACATACAATGAATTATTTGGTAGTAGAAGCTGTTACTTCATGACCTAAACAGTCCACTACATAGGTAGCAGGGAGTCATGTGAGATTCAGTTTTGATGTATTTACTATTATTTTAATTTAAGAAATAAAATACATAAATAAATGCTTAAAAAGAAACCTTTTCTATGGGCTTTTGACTGATGATGTGGCTCACAAAATAAAAGTATTCTGCATTTCTCTGGGTGGTTAAGTCTCCCACACAATACACAGCTTTAAATGTCAGTCAAGGAGAGGGCTCGTGTGCACATGTATGTATGTACACAAGGAGCACTTACATAAGGAGTGAAGATTTTGACCCAGCGAGGTTTTTTCTCCCCTCTTGCATACTCAAAGCAAAACGCCATGCCCTCCTCATCAGTGTCCCACCTCTGCATCTCCGGCCATTCGAAGGCTATAACCTGATTCTGTAGAATTTTAAGAATTCCACACAAACACATACACACAAAATAGATTTTAAGGGTTAAGAACATGGACATAAACCTAAATACACTTAATGCTGAAGCCTCAAAATATGTTTGTGAAGGTGTATTAAGAACCCTCAAAAATGCCCAAGCACACAGACCTCCAGTGTGCCATCTTCAGTGCAAGCGTGCAGTTTGAAGTGGTGGATACTGATGGCGGTGATCACGTGACCTTTCCTCCGCGAATCACATGAGCAGTGAGGGAACATGACTTCATTATAGCCCTCGCACGTGCGCAGCAGACTCAGGTACTGAGAGGAAAAAAAAGCAGAATAGCATATCAAGTCTTCTTGGTGCAACTTCAATTTGAGTTACTTAATTTTTTTTTATTAAAAAAAACAACCGCAGTGACACTGACGTTGTGGTGGTGGGTTTGTGTGTGTTGCGCTGGTACGAGTGGACTAGACACAGCGGTGCTGCTGGGGTTTTTAAACACTGTGTCCACTCACTGTCCACTCTATTAGATACTTCTTCCTTGTTGGTCCACCTTGTAGATGTAAAGTCAGATACAACAGTTTATCTGTTGTTACACAGTTTGTGCTAGTCATCCTCTAGTCCAGGGGTCGGCCATCCAAATGTTAAGCAGAGCCCTTTTGTCCTTTCAATAAAAATTAAACCATTTTGGGAGCCACAACATTTTATGTCCATTTCACCATCCTGGCTGTAAATATGTCTCCGTATGTGCCAATGTACTGGTAAAATATTATATAAACGAAAATGCAGACTTACTTTGCTCTGCTTTAAGCATTAACTCAGATATAGCTGCTTTTCTTGCATATTCGGCAGGAAACTCTTCCGCAAAAGTAGAACAGTTTCTTGTAAAATGTCGCTCATGATACGCTTTTTACGAGGCTTTAGTCAGCTTCTCATTCACCAGCTTCTTGTTCGGATTTTCCCATTCCACCACAAATGGCGCCAGAATGCAACTGCTACACCATTTAAGGTGGAACGGGAGAATTTGAACAAGAAACTGACTTAAGCTTCACAACTTTTTAGTGGTTGACAGCTTCACCTTGCAGATCAAGTGGGAAACCAGCTGAGTGCTTATAAACACAAATAAGTCCATTCTGCTCCAAATTATCGTTCGTCTTAAATCTTTCTTTTTGCCTTTTCGTTAGCTAGTCTGCATTGTCTGCATTGCTGTGGTGATCAACAGTCTGCGCGCCAACCTCCAGGGTAAAAGGCCGGTGAATTAGCAGTTATGCATTAACTCTGGCACTTTATTTATATATATAAATATTTGCATAAATACACTATACTGCCAAAAGTATTCGCTTGTCTGCGTTCACACGCATATGAACTTGAGTGACGTCCCATTCTTAATCCATAGGGTTTAATATGATGTCGGCCCACCCATTGCAGCTATAACAGCTTCAACTCTTCTGGGAAGGCTTTCCACAAGGTTTAGGAGTGTGTTTATGGGAATTTTTGACCATTCTTCCAGAAGCGCATTTGTGAGGTCAGACACTGATGTTGGACGAGAAGGCCCGGCTCGCAGTCTCCGCTCTAATTCATCCCAAAGGTGTTCTATCGGGTTGAGGTCAGGACTGTGCAGGCCAGTCAAGTTCTTCCACACCAAACTTGCTCATCCATGTCTTTATGGACCTTGCTTTGTACACTGGTGCGCAGTATGTTGGAACAGGAAGGGGCCATCCTCAAACTGTTCCCACAAAGAAATTGTCCAAAATCTCTTGGTCTGCTGAAGCATTAAGAGTTCCATTCACTGGAACTAAGTGGCGGCGCTTTACACCACTGCATTCGACGCTTTGCATTGCCCTTGGTGATATAAGGCTTGGATGCAGCTGCTCAGCCACGGAAACCCATTCCATGAAGCTCTCTACTCACAGTTCTTGAGCTAATCTGAAGGCCACATGAAATTTGGAGGTCTGTAGCGATTGACTGTGCAGAAAGTTGGCGACCTCTGCACACTATGAGCCTCAGCATCCGCTGACCCCGCTCTGTCATTTTACGTGGCCTACCACTTTGTGGCTGAGCTGCTGTTGTCCCCAATTGCTTCCACTTTGTTATAATACCACAGACAATTGACTGGAATATTTAGTAGCGAGGAAATTTCACGACTGGACCTGTTGCACAGGTGGCATCCTATCACAGTACCACGCTGGAATTCACTGAGCTCCTGAGAGCGACCCATTCTTTCACAAATGTTTGTAGAAGCAGTCTGCGTGCCTAGGTGCTTGGTTTTATACACCTGTGGCCATGGAAGTGTTTGGAACACCTGAATTCAATGATTTAGATGGGTGAGTGAATACTTTTGGCAATATAGTGTACATATACATACATATATACATATACACACACACACACACACATACACACACATATATATATATATATATATATATATATATATATATATGCAATGCATAATGTCACTTACAACAACAACAACAACAATGACAACGTCATCGGTATCTGCTATTACTGGCCAACTGATATTTAGGGCAGTCTGATTTGAGATCGACATCTCTACCCAAACCCCCCAGCAACAGAGCTTAATGGCAGTCCAGTAGGACAAAGGTCTTCTTGGGATAGCAGAGAAGGTGGGGATAGTAGGGCAGAACAGGAAGAAGAGGGAACAGAGAGGGAAGAGACTTACTGTGGCCATCTTTCTCTGCTCTGCTAGCTTCTGAAGTTGATAGGACTTATCCTCCGCTTTGATGAATCCCTTCTTCACATCATCCTGGGCCTGGGACAAAGAGGAACAGAAACGGAATAAGAAGGGAATGAAAAGAAGAAACGAGAACAAGGGGTGGGAGGCAGATTAAAAAAAAAAAAAAGCTAGCATCTGCGGTCTTACGGACCTACAGACTTGTGCACAGCTTTACCCTTTTGTCAATAAACTATTTTACCTCGTTTTTAATGTTGTGAATGCAAATACGTATTTTGTAAAGAAAATTCCTGTGATCAAGAAAAATAGGAAAAAAAAATCTAAAAACAGCTTGCCATGGTAATTTGAATTTCAGCATGTCAATTTAATTTTTAATTGTAATAAAAAAAAATACGTGTTAAACTTTGAAAACATTTGAAAAAAGGCTATTATATTATTATTATTATCAACATTCTTCTTCTTCTTATTATTATTATTAATAATATGAAGGAATTATTTCATTGAGAAATCAAATTTTACACATTAAGATGTAAATCCTACAATAAAAAGTTGTTTTTTACAATTTAGTAAAAGTTAAGTAAAAACATTTTCTGATAAAGAAATTTTATTCCTTGATTTAAAACAATGTACTATTAATTGTCAGCGCTTCTTCCCTTAAAATTCGTAGCTTCTTTTTTCATTTCTTTAGTTTTGTTTCCAGACATTGGTGAAAAGCTGCATCAAAAGACACCGGCACGGTAATCACTGGCATGGTCATTTTATGAATAGCTCTTATTTACCTTGATGATGGTGCGCTGTTACCACCAAGTTTTATGAATCTGGCCCAATGTTTATACTAGAAATATGTTTTGATATTGCTGGCACAAACTCTTAATTTTGGCCACAAGATTCATTGGCTTGGTGGCCTGAATGGCCCCAGTGCAATTTTTTTTTTTTTCACCTACCCTTGGAAATTAATATCATATTGTATATGATATACCTCAGATTACAAGATCAGCAACCCTGAGCTGCTAGGGACAGTGCTGAATGAACTCTGAACTGATCTGGTGTCCAACTCGTCGGCGACCGAGGCATAATCTAATCTGGGATCAGTGAAACTGACCTGGTGGAAGCAGTAGTGCAGAGCCAAGGGGTTATCCCGCAGCAGCTCGTGCTCCTGGGTACTGAAGAGCCACTTGCGCAGGGCCAGGCAGGTCCCCGGCACTGCAGAGGTGTAGTTCTGCACGTACAGCTTATGAGGGAACTCATTGGGAGCCAACTTACGAACTGAAAGAAACCGAAAAAGATTCAGGAAAATCAGCAAGTAAACTAAACAGAACCAAAACCATAAAGTCCATGTGACTCAGCATGTTATCACAACACTAACTTCTGCCCAAAGCCTTTCTACGTCCCAGAGTTAGGGATGAGATTGCTGAAACGTTAATATATGGGTCATTCCATACCAACTCGCATAGCCCTCCCAGTTCAAGTCACGGATTTTCTTAAAAAAAATAATTATGTGAAAACTTCTATTAAATTCATGGGACCTTTAAAAATAATAATCGCTCTACTCACAAAAGCCACACCACTGTCGGATGTCCTCATACCTAACAACCCACCCTTGGCATAAGACAACACGGTGCACCATGACCATTACAATGGTACTCAGCAATACTAACATCATCAAAAACAAAGATGCATTCATGAGCACTTCGGGCAGTGGTGAGGCTTAGAGTGCACATACAAAGAATTACAAAAATGAAAAGGGCCAAACTTTAAAAATTCATAACTTAAAAGCACTTGGAGTAGAGCTGTAGGATTTCCCTCTTATGATTCTAGGAGGACTGAAGTCATGGCTCAGCAGGTCCATATGGTACCACAGAGCTTTTCAAATAATCAGGCAAAGATTATGGAAAAAACATGATGGAAACACTCTACGCTGCCCCTGTTGATTCAAAATCAGTTGTGTAAGCACTTTTAAAGTGAGATCAAGGTGTTGTATTTGACATTCAAAACTGAGCAGAAACCTTACTAAAGGCCTCTGCAGACTCACTTCCTCTCTGAGCAGCAGTTTCTGTGTGTGTAGGACTGAAAGTTACTGTATATATATATATATATATCCGTCCTCCAGCTGAATCAGGAAACCACAAAAATACCACACTTGACTTGCACAAAAACACAAGAATTCTTAGGCACCTATTTAAAATGTTTAAAAGCATTTATCTTGACAGCAATTGTTTTTGCTTGTAAAAACACCACAACATTTTATCAACAATTTAATTAATTTATTTATTTATTTTATTGATTGATTTTTTTTTTTAACATGATATCTTGTGGGCTGGTAAGAACACAGGTTTGATTCCAGACTTCTCCAGTTAGGAAGGGTTATTTTAAAAATGTATTCTGGTACAGATTACCTATTAAAAATATTATCCAAAACCTAATCTAAAGGCTTACTATGTTAAAGTAATGCAATCTGAATTACTTTCTGTGATGTTTGGATAACTTTTATCAAGTCATATAAAGACAAGTTGAAGAAATTTTTCCACTTAGCACAAGACAAACAGGAGAGCTGCACTGAAGCAATATGAAAAAATATAGGTGACTTGACTGTCTGCTTTACAGCAATCAAAAGGTCAATCTGGTAGAAATCTTCTTTGATGCCACCAAAAATTATCATCTGTGTTCAATCCGCTAAAATGTCTATATTGGTTTATAAGGCTTCATATTAATGCACCACGCTTGGATTTTGATCGTGATGTCATTTGTAGACAGTCTCTTAGCTCTCAGCAGTGATGGCAGTGTACAGAAATCAACAGGTTCTCAAAGTTTACAAAGGCATTAATTTCACATATTACAAATTAACTAAGTTGTCGTAGTTGCAAATAATGATAATTCACATATATTAACATTTTGCACACACCGTTCTTAAACTACTGAAGAAAGAAATACATGTGAAAATGAAACCGACTTTACTGCTAACAAGATTCTTTTCATGTTTCACTATCCTGGTCCACACTCTTCTTCTTAGTTAGCATTAATATTAGCTCACTTCAGCACGTTAACAAAAGTCTGATTTGTAGCTAGTCAAACAGTATAATTTTAGGGAGCAGCAAGCAAGAATAAAAAAAGTATCTTCTGGAAAAAACTGCAGATTGTAGTCCTGCCAGTGAAAATACTTACAAAAATGTCTATAGATTAGCTGAATAAAAGGCAGCGAACTGCTGCTTGTAAAGGAAGTTCTTCATTAGATTTTTCTGCTGGCGGCAGCCCCGAGCCCATCTTCCCAAAACAGGGAAACTCGTCAAACCTACGCAACTCGTGACATTTTCTCGTTCAAAGCAGCAAATTTCGATGAAAGACGATGAGTTTGCATGTATGTGTTTTGAAAGTAATCCTGCTAGCAAATCACCTACAAACTTTAAAATGCCCGTGTTTTAGCAACACCTTCCAAAGCGTCACTTGGTGAGTGAAGCGTTTCACCTGTAATGAAAACGTAGCATTAACTTGTGCGTGGCTACTACAGATTTTGAAAATATACAAATAAAACAAAATAAAAATACTGATCCAGCTCTTTCATTTTTATTGAATTAGCATTTTGGAATTTTAGCAGTTCCAAACAACTCTGACATCTGGGAATGCTGCACCCGCTTCACCACCCCCTCTTTTCATGTCCCTGGACTTAATCAACTGCATTGACGCTGTAAATATGATGATTTGTTGTTAGGGAAAATGGACTGGTTAGTTTAATCGATGTGCTGATAAAGATTATGTATAGATTAACTGATTACTAAGTAATCAATAGCAGCAGCCTTAGCAAAGACTATACATAGATCAGGGTTGGCAGATAGACATATATTAAGCATATAAGAGTAATATCTGAGGTTAACAAGCTCCCAACCCTAACACTTCCTGTCAAAAAGGAGGGGCCTTCACACAGTAATACAAGTAATACTACACTAATAATGCTACTTGCATTGCTCTGCTTTTCACTGCAATCTCTCTTTCTGCTGCTAATAGTCATACCTCTGTCCTGTGCCATAAGCTTAACAGCCATAACAATCCCTAACAGATCTCTATTTGTAGGAAATACAGAACATCTTTAATACAGTGTTTATAAAGTGGATGGAATTCCACATTCCACAGTTATGTCAGCAGGAATGTAGCTCTTGCCAGCTTTATTTGGGAGAGTCTGATGGTAAACTAAGAAGCGTACAAATGAGGTCTGGTGAGTACCTGGAACATTTCACAGGAGACTTGGCAGAAAAGCACAAGGGTGTGGACAGACCCAGAGCAGGGTCATTAAATTGGACGCAGCTGTAACATAAGGCGTCCATATTTGGGTATATTTTTACTAGCTTAGCATTAATTTAGGGTTCCAGTGTATTACTTTAAGCCGAGTCACATGTGGCGTATTATTTTAAGCTGAATCAATTTATACGTCTAGCAAAGCTAAGCAAAAGACGTGAACTTGTCTAGATGCCTTTGCTAGACTATGTGAATGAAGCAGAGTTTGAGAAAGAGGGAGGGGATAGGTGGTTAAACTTCACAGGACACAACAGATGGTTTCAGTACATCAAAATGCCTCCTAAATTTGGAGTGAGTATGACACCACTGGGATTGCATGTATACCGTTACTGATAAGTTGAGAGCGGCGTACAAAATTACTAAATCAGCAGTAATGAAGCTCCATCTGGACCCATCAAGAGGACTTTGTCAGGATTTCAGCTTGGCAGTAAAATAGAGAAAGCTGCACAATATGGATGTATAATGCAATGTGCGATAAAGTTTTGCAAAGATATGAGAAGCAACAGATTAAAATGTGTTTCAGGGTGTGCAACAGGTACAGACCTTCATTTTTGCTGTATAATTAAACCAAAGCAATTTCAACTATCATTTCAAAGTGTAAAATAAAATCAAAATACTAATAGCTACTTACAGCACAACTACAAGCATATTTTTGTACAAGGCTGTTAGAAAAATAGTCTGCTTTCCCTGAATTTTTTCCTACACAGTCTAACAAAAACAAATATATCACTTCTCAAAAAGCTCTACATGGTGATTCAGATTTGCTGTGACAGAAGGCAGCACTGCCTCTCAGGTTATTGCCTTAACAGGTTACTGGTTAAAGGGGAATTGCACCAATTCTCTGCCTAATTAAATGGATAATACATTAACTAAGTCATTAGGAGTGGTTTGATGTGAAATGCCCTAATGGAATCAAAATTGCGCACAGTAGTGGTGATAGGAACCAGACGTCATGGTGAAAACGCCAAGCAGAAAAAAATACCAAATTATTATGAATATGCTGCCTAATGCCTGAGACAATGTCTTATGATTGTTTCGTATTTTAAAATGGATTTTTAATATTCATTCATGATGGAGAGGTACATGCAGGGTAAGGTAAAACAGTCCCCCAAAGAAGATTTTCAGATTTACTACTGAAAATTTCACCACTATCACCATTACTAACATTACATATCAAAACTCAGAAGACATGAGTAGGTTCACTGTTTGTTTTAGACAGTAAAAAAAAATGGCTATAGCTGCCATCATGTCGTAAGTTTCTTTACAATGAACCATTTCACATCAAACCACTCTGAATTACTTTTACATAACTACAATTGACTATTAAGAATTGAGCATAGCTGTTCCAGCTATGCAGAGATATCACAGGTTTGAAGAGGCATATTTGGCAGCTGATAATAATGGTGGATGAAGATGACAGTTTGGATATTAAAGTTTGCCATTAAACTTTCACATCTCTGAAATCAGGGCTGAAGTGCAGCATTTTTAGAGCTAGGTGCTTCTGGACTTTGATTAGCTTTTAAAATTGAATCTTTTTACTTAACCTGACTTAATTAAAAAATTAAAGCAGTGAAGTAAAAGTGAACAAAAAAAATAAACAAGTAAAAGCAAATGTACTATGATTTAATTCCACTCAAAAAACAGTGTCACAGTAAACTGTACACTAGTTCTGTAATTACAGTAAATGTAATCTTTTCCAAATATGGAAATGTGAAATTGGATTCAACCAAATAAAAAATAACAAACAGTAAACTGTGGCCTTTTTGGTATTAGATAAGCCCAAGCCTCCAGTCCTAAAAAGTCCTTATCACTTAAAGCAACATAAATGCCTGCACTTTCTGAAGTTTAGTCATCACTGGTCACGCATTTAACAGCCCACCCTTTAAAATGGGAACGCCAGCCACATCAATCAAGATGTTGGCTGTGGGTGTCAGTTGTTGTGACTGGTCCTGCTCATGTAATGACAATCCTTTATTAGTTTGTTAATTTGTTGTTATATGAAAAATACACAGGTATCTGTTGTACTGGCCAAGCAATACAACTGCCTCTACATATGATGACAAACTGTTTTGGCTTTAACTTCTGGCTTTTGTTTTTTCACATTTTACCTGAGTGAGATGACCTTCTGGCCATACTGGCCTTAAGCTCCACAAAAATCTGGTACTCCATGTTAAACGTGCAGGTGCACTGGTATAGGGATTGTGGACTGATGTCGATGTTTAAAATGTTACATTTTTACAGACACCTGTCTACTTGATTATGTTGAAACATAACATTAGCAGAGGGTTATAAATGCAGTAAAAGGAAACAAAAATAGGATACTAGCCCTTCATACTCTTTCTCAAGCTGCTTGTGCTTTTTAGAAAGACAGCTCATTCACATCTCTGTTTCTCATCCCTCCTGTCTGTCTATTTTCCGCAAAGACTTCAATGGGGGATACTTCTATTTTTAAATATTTTAAACTAAAACAACCAAACTTGCTGTTGGGGTTCTGAGTACTAGAGCTAAGTGCTTCTGCTTTTCAGACTTCCTCATCCCTCCACCTCAACACCTTCTTGCTCTCACAGTTTACAAGCTAGAGCCACCGAAGTTGTTATACCGTTGCTAAAGTAAGTCTATCCTTATTCCCATATATACCACTCACCCCTTTAACCTTTTCTTTTTTTATTCTTTCTGTCCATACAAATCCTTTGATTTTGATACTCCTTGAGCCACCAAACTTGGGACACTGTGTTGGGTACAACTGGTATCCAAAGTATACAAGTGCATTTCATACTGCCAGTACTCATCTACAGTACACACACACACACACACAAGGATATCCTGAAACTGGGGCATTCTGAGCTGTGTGTTCTGTTTTTGAGCTATGTTTCTAGATGTTAACATAATGTCAGTGCCTTAAGCCAAACTGCTGCATATATTTTGGCTGAGTTTGCTCCAGTTTTAAGATAAATAGGTCAGACTTGCCTCATGGCCTTTTATAATCCCCCCTCATTCATCAAGGTCACAGGATGCAGGCTTTCTACTTAAACCAAGAGTTAAGAAATCTACAGCAGTTCAAAGAGTGTTTGCCTGCAGACTCCAAAAACTTAAAATAATCTCTCAAATAGTATTGGGAACCCAGACACTTAAAACTATTTAACTGCTTTTAATTGAAGGCTTCTTTTCTTCCTCTGCAAGGACTTGAAACCATTTTCTTGCAAGTTTTCAATATCTCTTCATGTACTTTCTTATTTTGTCACTCCAATGGCGTCTGACACTATTTTATTGTGTAGTTCGTGTGTATGCCATGTATGCCATCCCTTTTGTTTTTCTCTATAAGGCTATGTTTTGGAATATAGCCTATGCAGGGTGCTATATTAATACTTAACTGAATTTGGTCCCTAGCAATTACATATTCATGGGTGACATAAAACAAAAAAAACAAAAACACTCATTCAAAAAACAATGTAAAGTACTGTGCAAAAGTCAGAAACTACTTTTCAGCCACTTAATAGTCCAGTCAAAAAGGTCCAAATTCATTAATTTTAAGTTATTAATTTTTCTGGAAATGAAAAAAACACCAGTTTTCAAACTAAAGTTCAAAAAATCATTAACAGAGAGAAAATGAGACTCCAAACAACCATGCAATACTTGGTAGACCATGAAAACTGCCACATTAGACAAACAGAACTTAAATCTTTTATTCTGTAAGTAGACAATAACACTGAGTCTGAAAGGATGTGCAGCTAATGTGATGCGTTCTCATTACCGAGAAAAGGAAACAGATAAAAAGAAGAACATTTGCAAAATCAGAACAATGTACTGGCTGCCTTGGTCTAGACCACAACATCACTAAATGTGTTTGGAATTGTTTGGATTGTAAAAAGGAAAAGAATGCAACCAACTCCTAAGACTGAACTCTGAAGGCATGGAAAAATATTTTCTTTGAAAAACTGAAAGATCTCATGAAAAAAAATGGGAGCTATAAAGCCAAAGGGTAGGCATGCAAAAAAATTTAGTTGTTGAAGTTCCTGTGTAATTTTCTGCTAGATATATGTTTTCTGAAACTGAAAAAAGTCACTGGCCATTTTCAGTGGAAATGAAATAAGCGAAGTGTGTTCTCTGACTTTTACACAACACTGTATAAATAAGTAAGATTGGTTAGCTCACCGAAGGAGTGGTTGATCACCTCAAAAAGGGCAAAGTAACTGGCCATGATGCTGTCCATTCCAACCTTTATGACTAGTGCCTGCAACAAAGGAACAATGTAAAACCTGATAGATAATCATATCAGTTCTACATAGCACACAGGAGGACCGGACAGACTTAGGCCCAATCCCATTTCTTCTTTTTACCCCTACCCCTTGCTTAAGCGTCACCTTAACCCCTTGGAACTGAGTTGCAAGAGGCTGTAATCTTGCTCTACGAAATGGGACAACCATAGAATTTAAAACAAAACAAAACAAAAAAAAAAAAACACTGCTTCATTAACAGACTACTAGCGGTTCTCTGTAGGTGACCCGGCCCGTCTTCAGTGATGGCAAAGAAGGAAAAAGTTCAGCAACCTCGCTGCTGGGCTTTGGTTACATTTAGGTCATCATATGCTTTCAAAGAGAGGGTTTAAGACAATTATTTATTATCGCCCACTGCTAATTCTTCGGTGATACGAAGATGAAGTCAGCTATTCACCAGCTTCTTGTTCGAACTTTCCTGTTCCACCTTACATGGTTCAGGTGTCAATACTACTGGACTATTTAAGGAAAAAGGGGTGAAATGGGATTGGGTCTTAAGCTCTATTCCTCTGACTAAGGTTTAAATGCCAGCTGTGTGAACAGTCTTACAATAAGACTTAACTGCAACAAACTGGAGAAAAATGAGAAGGAAATACAAGAAAGTGTCACGGTGTTGACCGTAGACAAACAGTACCCTTGGGATATAAGATTCTAGGTATCTTTAAGTAACCATATCTGGGAAATACAACACTGCTGAAGTAATATTCTCATAGAGGAGTACATGACAAAAGACACAAAAGAAGTAGAGTTTACCTGGTAAACTTGGTCAGTGGTGCTGTTCTTACGCACTTTCACAGAAATGGTGGTCTTATCAGGCAGTGCTATTCGCAACTCCACATCCGTTACACCATTATAGTTCTGAAACACACACCACACACCAGTTTTGTTGAGTTCAAGAACAGAAAGAGGCCAAGACAATACATTCACAAACATGTTCTCTCTCTCTCTCTCTCTCTCTGTTACCTCATCCGACTCAGACAGGAACTCTTGCATAATGTCACTCTCCCCGATGGCCCTTACTGAGCACACTAGGGAGAGAAATCAGAGTTCAGGAAACACAGCTCATGAAAATTTCCACACTGTTACCACACATCACACACTGTAAGTCTTCAACCACATTAATCTCAGAAGAATCAAATAAATACAGCAATACTGCAAAACATTTCCTTCCTTCACTGTTGCACCACTTTATAGGGGAGCAAGAGGATGCCACTCCATGTTACTATTTATTTCAACTTTCGATTCAACCACTATGTCAGTGTTTCTCTCTCTTGCTTTCACCTCTCTCCACGTACTCCTCCAATCCTCTCCTGCGGGCATCCAGCTGTTGCTCTGACAAGGAGAAGGGCCATTTTCCAGGTAGCTTGGGGAAGGAGTAGGTGGCAAACTCTCTTTTCAGGTTTTGGTGCAGGATTGCAAACTCCCGGTAGCGCTTCGAGCATAGCTGTCTGCCAGACATGTAGATGTTGTACACCTGAAAGGGAGAAAGGGTGAGAGGGAGAGGAAATAAAATTCTAATTTAAGCCAACTGCCAAATGGTACGGAGATCCGCAGACAGGTTTCATCTATTACAAGGATGCACTCTGGCCCTTACACTTATCTGTGATCTGTTAGTACTGTTATCTGTTAGTACAGGGAAACCTCTAAACTTTGCTGGACACCTGCCTTCCAGGACCGGAGTTGTGCACCCCAGATCTATCGCGATGGCCATCAAGTTTGACAATTAAAACGCCAGCTTTAAGATGCACAAAAGTAGTTAATGTTTGTCTCGTAGTCTGTGTTTTCTTTTGATGTACAGATACATTAACATGGCCTTAAATTATTTACTCTCTGTTCACATCAAAGTTATTCAAAATAAAAAAGACAAGTTAATATAGCCCAGCCTAACAGCTTTATGAAAATAACAGACTACAATGACATAACACAGAAATCTCTAGGCTGGCTTTACACAGCAAAACTTTCATGAAACTAAATTGCACTTTCGCTGTACAATGTAAAGCATATTGAAACTTAGTCACAACAACTGCAAGCATCTCAACTTTGTGAAACAAGTTTCTTGAAACAACTAATCAAATGGCAATAACAAATCACATGACCACAACAAACTACACAGTCTGAAACACTGAAACGTAGTTCAGACAAGAAAATATAGTCTGAATATAGTGTGTTGGGCAGCTGAAAAGGAAATCTTTCTGATCAGCTTTATGCAAGGCTACTAATTTTTTGTTCTGTCAATTTCCTGAGTCTTGACAACAAACGTGAGTTTCTCGAAGTTAACGTTTCTGTAAACAGCTGGCTTATGAAACCAGCTAATGGTAACAAATGTTTAAGATTTAGTTTCTCTTCTCTTGATGACCCCAAACTTTACACACAGCTTAGATTTATTTGGAGTGGAGATGGAGAGGTGATCCGCGACTGACCTGTGCTACTAGGACAGCACGAGTGAGACATAAAGCAGGCTATAACTATGATGGCTAGTGGAACATGACTTTTTTCATAGGCTTAACAAAGACAGATAGACAGATAGAAAAAAAGACAAATATAGATTAAAAAAAAAAAAGAATGGTAACAAAAGCAAGAAAAAAGACACAAAAATGACAAAAATGTAACAACTCACAGATGACTTTAAATGGAAAGAATACTATGGTACAGGGATGTGCACAGGTGCTCGAGTACTCAACTACCAGTTGAGGTGCCAGTATTCGAATATGGAAATCACTATTCGGGTGCTTGGCCTGTTTCATCACAGGACAGTACTGTAAAATGTTATGGCTTTGCTTGTATTTTTGAGAATCTTTATTATTAGAATGTAGAATATTACACTCCGTGCCTAAACATGGGAGTGTTGCCAAGGACATGATTGAGAAGACCGATATATCGCAGCTCTACTGCTAACTAGGCTAACTACACGAGCCAATGTTAGTTAAGTCGAACAACAAAACAGTCCTTTAACCTCTTAACACCAGAGCTAAAAGAGTAAGCCTTAATTTAACTTTGATCAAAGTACGTTTTTCCCCTTACCACAGTGAACCGGGTGTCCGTTCATTGACTCAAATATCAAATTAGTCAAAATATTAAAATGAGATAATATATCGAAGAAACTGAGCCGCTAATTCAGCTACCTAGTGTTGCACTGGAATGTGCTGAACTTTGTGTTTACATTGCTTTGTGTAACTGAAGTTGCATGCAATAACAATACGTAACAATAGTTTCACAGATGTGTTACTGTGTAATCCAGACATTTATGCACTGTGACAGCCCAATTTATGAAACCTACTGGGAAAAAAAAAAACCAAAAAAAAAAACTATGAAACCAATCCAAGAACAACATTAGCTTATACGTTTCTGACCAGAACATGCTTATTTGCTCCAGTTTAAACAGGCTTTTCTGTGCTATTACCACATTACTTGCCATGCTGAAAGGCTAAATGTTGATTCAGACTGCAAGTTTGGGTTAGGAGAAACCTCTGAGTCAGTAATAGTGGCATTTTTCTGTTATGTGCTCTGAAGGTGTGCTGGTGGCGCATATACACATATATTTCCGTGCTATGAACCATCATGGCAAAGTGGCTCATGTGCCCCCTCAATACTATCACCAATCAACAATGGCCAAGGGCCACAATAAGACACGGTATGTTGCACACGCTCTCACAACTTTCAGTGAACTTAAACTCTGCTTTTACTCCAAGCACAGTGCATTCTTAAAGATAATGGCTGTAAACAAGGGAGCTGAGAGTCAAGACTAAGCTCTAAGACCCAACAATTACATTACAGAGTTAAAAGGGCTTTTACAAAAGATTACCATGTTCATTCCCCGGTTGAATACACACTTACACACAGGCTATCAATCAATCTAATCAATGACTCACAGTTAACTCAGAGTTTGTATTTAACTAGCAACTCATTTTAGATGCAAACTAATTTCTAAGTAAAGCTTATACTAAGAACTTACCTGTACTCCTGCCCCCTCCAATGTTACAAAATGCCTTTTGGAACTACTGCAATTGTCTATAAACACTGAAGGAGCTGGAATATACATTTGTGTGTGAAAAAAATATTCACATTTTGTGTTGCACGTTATAAGTGTGGAACTCACCACAAATCTTTCCCCATGCTGCTCCACATGTTTGTAGGTGGGAATGGAGATGGGCACTGCCTGCTTATCACTGTAGTCATAATTGGGCGGAGCAGAGCCATCCTCTCCTGATTCCAGGCCGTCCACTTCTTGCGGTGGCACAGATAGTACGGCCAGCACCAGCTCCTTCTCTCCAGCTCGGATCAGATCCACCACCTGCTTATGAGTAGCACCTTCCACATTCACTCCATTCCTACAGAGAGGGAGGGAAGGAGGGAAAGAGAGATTCTCTTTAGCAGAAATCAGATACAGGCTCTTCACCCACAGAGGTATATGGACCATCTGATATTCATTCTACATCTAGAAGGCTGGAAGCATGGGAATTTTGTCAGTTATACACCAATCAGGCATAACATTATGACCACCTCCTTTCTACGCTCATTGTCCATTCTATTAGCTCCACTTACTATATAGGTGCACTTTGTACTTCTACAATTACAGACTGTAGTCCATCTGTTTCTCTGCATACTTTGTTAGCCCCCTTTTACCCTGTTCTTCAGTGGTCAGGACCCCCATGGACCCTCACACAGCAGGTACTATTTGGGTGGTGGATCATTCTCAGCACTGCAGTAACACTGACGTGGTGGTGGTGTGTTAGTGTGTGTTGTTGCTGGTCTGAGTGCATCAGACACAGCAGTGCTGCTTGAGTTTTTAAACACTGTCCACTCACTGTCCACTCTAATAGACACTCCTACCTTGTCAGTCCACCTTGTAGATGTAAAGTCAGAGACGATAGCTCATCTGTTGCTGCACAGTTTGTGATGGTCGTCCTCTAGTCCTTCATCAGTGGTCACAGGATGCTGTTGGCTGGATATTTTTGGTTGATGGGCTATTCTCAGTCCAGCAGTGACACTGAGGTTTTTAAAAACTCAAGCAGCACTGCTGTATCTGATCCACTCAGACCAGTGCAACACACACTAACACACGACCATCATGTCAGTGTTACTGCAGTGCTGAGAATGATCCACCACCCAAATAGTACCTGCTGTGTGAGGGTCCATAGGGGTTCTGACCACTGAAGAACCGGGTAAAAGGGGGCTAACAAAGTATGCAGAGAAAAAGATGGACTACAGTCTGTAATTGTAGAACTACAAAGTGCACCTATATAGTAAGTGGAGCTGATAAAATGGACAATGAGTGTAGAACCAAGGAGGTGGTCATATTGTTATGGCTGATTGGTGTACTCTGATTATTCGTAAGGCCAACTTCCATGCACAGTTTTTTATCAATTTGATGGGAAACAGACTTTTGTTCTTTACGCTAAATGTTAGCTAATCACCAGCATAAGGCAGCTGCCAGCTTTGCATACCCTGACCATGCATGAAAAATCATGAGCAGTGAGAAAGATGACAAGTTCAGAACAAATCCCTGTAGTGGGGTGCAACAGCATTATTCCTTCAGGTGAAACTTCAGGTGATTTTAATCACATTTAGATGAAATTCTGGTGAAACTCCAGTGTACCCCAGGCTAAAATACTGGGGCAATTGCTGTACAATTATGCAACTATAATTCAAAATGTGTACTGTTTTCAAAGCATTTAGATTTATTTGTTAAAAATGTATTACTTATCATACCAAGACCAAAAGACACACACAATTTGGCAGTCCCCACATTTATTATAAATTGACCTCGTTAAAAAATTCCCTGTCATTTTTGTTCTACTTGTTTCATAAGGCATTGAGTGCTTGGGCCCCAGTAGTTGCCACTAATTTGTAAACGGTCATTCAGCTTTTACAATGGCTCCAACAATCCACAAAAATTACTGGGCCTCATTCACCACTGTCTGAGTTTTTTTCTTAAATTTGTTCTCGAGAAAGGTCCTAAAAATAAGTCTACATCAGATTAATGATGTGTTCGTAAACCGCAGAACTGTTCACACCTTTGTGCTCTTGAGTGTGTGTAGATTCTGTTCTTACCTGAGAACAAATCCCAAATAAGAAAACATTGACAAACATTGTTTTAAGAAGAACTTTCTTCTTAATAACGTCTGATGAACGAGACCTAATGGGTTCTATATTAATTTCAGACAGAAACTAAATGGAAGCTGGTTGTCTCTTGGTTACCAACAACTATCACTTAAATATGTTAAACTTTTTTGCTCACCTGATACGAAACATGCAAAAATGAAACAAAACTCACTGCTAACTAAACATGGCTCTCTTTTAATGTTTCAGTAAAGTTACATTAGTTCAGATTGGCCAATAAAAATTAAATACTACATCTGCAGCTACTGTGATCTGCTGTTGTGCTTTGTTTGGGGAAGGGAAAGGGGTTCTCTGTCTGAATAATCTCCCCATCCCAAAATTAAAACTCTGAAAATCTACACGATTCAGGTGAATGGCATATTCAGCATTCAAAATGACACATTTTGCTGAACAGTGACAAGCTTGCATGTATGAATGATAATGCCATTCAGAAAAAGACACAGAACACAATTAATGGCATCCCATCTTTAGAATTTAAGATGTTTGTTTAATGGAGTTATGAGTTAGCAGCAAGTAAATGAGATCTCAGCTGCTAGCCACTTTATCAGTAATTCTCTGTTTTATTTTTTGTTGTATAAGCATCCTAACAATCACCTTTGCCTGTCAGTCAAATGGTCCCTTTCTGCCAAATCAAGTGGTTCTGGGCCACACTCAGTGACAAAACCCACCACACTCAGATGATAGTCAGAACTTTGGCTTGCTGACTTACATAAAACATCTTAATTTCACAGTAAGGTACACAAACCTTAATATTAACTACTATTTGACAACAGAAACTGAAGCTGCATTGTAAACTCAGCTGTAACTAGTGAACGACCAATATGAAAATTGTGTGGTTGATACAAATACCAATTTTAGAGGGCTAAACATTCTGGAAACGAATAACATCAGCCAACATAACTTAAGATTTATATTTCGTGGCTAAATGCTTTTAAAAAAGGTGATAATTATCAAAGTATTGATAGCAATATTATTATTAATATTATTATAGCCGTAACATTAGCCATTATCGGCCAACAAATATATAGGTCAGGCCCTAGTAGTAACTAATTTTCCCTTTTGTATGACCTGAGACGAACCATGTATTGGGATTAACCAAAAATGTTCACATGTGCATGCATGTATGCACATCCACACACGCACAGACGGACAGGTGTAGGTCAGAGCAGTGAAGCACATGCCATCTGTGCACTTTCCACCATTACTAATTCATTACAGAGAAACAGAGGGAGAGGGAAAGTGAGTGGATCCATTTGAGACGCAATCCAAACAATGAGAGTGCGCATGAAGAAGTGAACGAACGATCAACAGGACAGGCAAAACAGAACACATGCTGGAGACCTATATTATCACCTGACTTACATTTTCATTTTAAGCAGACTTACTGTGGCTGCATTATATAAATCCCATTATGCTACAAGCCTTTTTAGAAATAATGATACAGAGCTATTGGTTTAATAATAAACCCTTTGAATCTGAAAGGAAATAAAAATAAACAAGAAAGCCTGTTAAGGGTGGAGGAGTTCAGTATGATTCAGAAGCATCCACATGACTTGAACGCAGACTGTTCTGGGCACAGCTGAGGCAATATTACAGCTAGGCTAGGACTGCGCATCGTTATGCAAGAGAGTAAAAAGTCACATGATTGGCTGACAGCAAGAAGCCTCTATACAGAGTCACATACTAATGCTGTCTCAATTGTGAAGGCAAGAAAGAGAAGTGTGAAGTAAGGGCGACAAAACAGCGTCACCAATTTAATCTGATCAAAATACTGAGGCTAATGAATAACGACAAGTTTAATACAACATTCAAAATGACTTCCCTTCATCAAAGCTTTATCTTGCACAGTTCTCTAACTGAGGTTTTGGGGATGAGCCTGAATGTATTATTTTTTGCACCTGAAATGAAACTCTCTGAAATCTCCATGAAGTCTCTTAAAGAACCAGACTGGGTCTCTTAGATTTACATCACAAGCTCCTTATAACTGAAGAAGAAGCTGAATGGAAAATTAGCCAAAGTTTGCTTTTATAAAACCGACAAAAGTACACAGCACAGCTAAAAAGAGCAGTAGTGGTGGTCGTCTGACAAGAGGCTTAAATGTCGTATTCACTTTTGTCTATTTCTATAGATATACATACATAGTATGACTGGAATTTTTAAATTATGTAAAAAATGGCAAAAACTGAGATACACGGTTTTTGTGCAACAGCAGCACCATACATGTACAGAGGCCGACCAATACCTCGACTTGTTGGGGACTGAACTCATGATCTCTCACTGATAGAGAGAAGCCTTAGAAGTTTGTGCCACTGGAAAACAGCCCTGATTAACTGCATGAGAGCAATACGGGCTGAACTGGTGAACTGATACACAAAACACCATAATGGTTAAAACAAGAAAAACATATGAAATGTATCCAAACTAAGCCTGGGAACAGCATGTTATTACATACAAAAAAAATATGACGAGAATTAATGAAAAATAAAAAAGTAGCTCCACCTCTGACACTACGATATTAATGTTATTTAAGACTGTGGGTTCTTGCTGGGGTTTTTTTGAGACAAAGAACAAGTGTGACAATTGAAAACTGACATCCGTCAGTAAAGCATTGTTTATCTAAAAAGTATTAGAGCAGTGTTCCCCCACCCTACTCCTGGAGGCATACTGCCCTGCACATTTTAGTACTTTGCTGGCTTCAATATACCCACTTCAGATCAGCAAATCATTACTGAGCTCAAATCAGTTGTTAATTTGTTGAATCAGGTGTGTTGGGGGCAGGAAAAACACCAAAAAGTGCAATACTATGTGCCTCCAGGACCAGTGTTGGGAAACTACATTGGCCAATGTTATCAGTTATCAGAATTTTTAGCCCCTTGAAATTCAGTATCATATCTGTCAAGTCTAACTTCAGTGGCCTTGTAGAACCACCGCAAAACTAAAGATGGTAATTTGCCAAGTACAATGAGAAAACTGTGTAAATTTGATTCTGACCAAACTATTGCCCAAACACCAGTAGTAAGCAAACAGGAAAACTCTCAGCAATAACAGTCAGGTGTTCTAATAATAGTGCACAGTACATCACAGGGGCTTACGTAACTCACAGGCGGTCACTCAGAATTCCAACTATAGTCATAGGAAGGGAGGAGATGGGTTGGTTCCTCCACAATATAAAGCTGCCTTTTCCTGAACTGAGGTCCAGTTAGAAAGGGTTGTAAGATACAGTAGGGTGAAATTTGTCTGAGAACATATGGTCTGTTATCGTTTGTGATACTGACCAATAAGCCGTGTTCCGGGTTTTCTTCTTGTGTAACAATTCCCAAGAGATGTGACCTACCAAGCAGCCTAAAGCAAACAAACGTACATACACAAACACACACTACTGCACAAGTCTGCACGAATCAACCACGTTATTATGCTCACAAAAGAAAATACTTCCACAAACAACAGTTGTGATTACACGGCTGAGCTGAAGTCAGCGAATGGCGAATTTTGCTGTTGATCAGCAAAACAACAGGCACACCCTTTCTCTTTCATCTTTTTAATTTCGGTCCTGACTTACTGTGTATGTAAATTGACTAAACATCTTGTTATTTCTTTGATTAGGGAGCCCACACAATCAAACACAAACATAATCTCAGAGAAGATGAATGAACAAGGTCTTGATAAATGTAATGACCACAAATACCCATGAAATCTCATCTACCCTGGCGGCTCTCTGGTGAAGCCTACAAGTAGCAGTGACTGACTGGCCTGAGGGATTCACAGTGACATCCTATCAATCAGCCCACAGAACATCCTAGTCTGCATCTGTCCATCTATGGTGATATAGTCTCACCACTACATCTCAAAACAACATTAAGGCTAATAACATGCAGCCCAGTAGCAGCAGACTGACAAGAGTTCAGCCATTTCCCTGTGTGGCTTACAATGTCTTGAATAGATCCATTCAAGTTGAGGCAATCTTGCACACCATTAGCATACTATTACACAAACAACACCACAGTGGGAAGATGCCTAATTACATAATTCTTTGCACCCTGTTGGAAATGTGTGAGGCCGTCAGCATTCAACTCCACTCTCATGTTGTGTACACTTGTTGCAGTTAACCGCAGGTGATGGGTATTGAGGCACTCCAACCTAATTATCACTTGGAAAAAAAAAAAGCACTTCTGGGTTTGGTCAGACGAAACATAACGTAGAGTTAGTAGTTTGAGAGTTAAATTAGTATTAGTGGTCTGAAACTAACGGTTGCTTCAGAAAGAGGACCGTAGTATAGTAAACGGAGAATATTTAGGGGGGGGGGGGACTCCACAGTAATTCAATGTTTGAGGTGTAAACAAAGTCATACTGAGCGGTCTTGACGTGAAATGGTTCATGTAGAGAAATTTACAAACACAGATCTCTTTACAGTGGTGGTGATAGGAACCAGGGGTCACAATGTCTATAAATTTAGTAATTTTATTTTTACCCAAAATGATCAGTGTGGCTGTACATGCAATGTTGTTAATGGTAAATCATTCTATTTGGGTACTACTTTGCCTTAGAGCCCTGCATATGCCTCTCTGCAATGAACAGCGTGGAGAAGATGACATTTTAGGCCAAATACGTATCGTAAAACAATGTCTCAGGCTTCAGGTGCAATGATTCTAGCCATTTCATATAATAACTTCCTGTGATGTAGCTTTCAGTGGTTTCGGACATCTGGTTCCCATCACTACCACAACAGGTTTTGCATCAAACCCATTTTGAAATTTCTTACATCATAACCACACAATAATGCAGAAAAACAGTGAATTCCCCTTTGAGTAACTTAATACCTGCTTAAATGTCTGTATGTCTCTTGTATGAGTCACCTTATTTAGATTTTTATATAATAAAATGCACACAGCCACAAAAGCTAATATGATGTGATACATCGATTAAAAAAGCAAGCCACTTTAAAAGAAAAATCCTGGACACTGTAAACTTTATTAAATTTGAAAAGCAAAGATTTAGGTAACTATGTAGATACTCATTTGGTAAATCCTTTAAGACTGACAGCTGCATGAGGTAGAACCACAAAATGTCAACTGTGGTCTAGACAAAAAACCCACTATTAGGCTTCGGTGTTCACCTGCATTTCACTGGCTGGAAATGAGAGAAGAAGGAATAAAAGGGTACAGTCCATAATTTACTTCATTACAAGAGTGTTTTCACTATTAATTCCAACTGCTACACTGTCCCAGCACTACTAGAGGAGACTGTAGGTCACTTAGGTAAACATAAACATTGACATTTAACGTTAGCTGCCAAATGAAAGCTCAAATAAAGCCAAAGACCATCAGCAGAGCCACGGCAATCAAATATGTAAATGACCAACAGCGCTGTGGCTGTTAAATGTGCCAAACTAACCCGGTGTTGCATTATCATCAACCAAAGTGGCCACTATCGGGTAAAGCTAGAGAGGATATGCTAACTTAGCTTCAGGTTTGCTGAAGCCACTTAGCAAGCCAGCTAACGTTACGTTAACGTTATTCTCCGTTTACCAGCCTTCTAACTAGCAAACAAACAGCCGTGCAGGTGGTTACATTTTCGAAGGAGAATAAAACGTTAAAGCGTCGTAATGAGCAGCAGCAGTCAGAGCCACAGTTAGCGCAGTTAGCGAGCTGGCTAACAGTCTTAGCGTACAGCGGACTGCTCAGTGTTTATCCGTCAGTCAGGGTAGTTAACGTTAGCCCCGGAGCAATGAAGCCGTGACTGCGATCTAAAGCGGCACATGCGGCTGTGAAAAGACATGAAAAAAAAAGGCACTTACACCTCCAGAATCCGGTCTCCTTTGGAGATTCCTGCCCGGTCCGCCGCGCCCCCCGGTAACACGGCGCTGACGTGCTGGAGCGGCGCGTACAGCTCGCCGTTGATGCTCCGCAGCTGGCCGCCCTCGCTTACTTGGCCGCGGACGTTGAAGCCGTAGCCCGACTCTGACTTCACGATTCGGACGATACGCGGACCCGCCGTGGTTGTGGCCGAGCCTGTTGCGGGTCCGTTGCGGGGCGCCGCGCTGAGCGACGCCGGAGGAGCGGTCCGGACCTCGTCTCCCTCGGAGTCCGCCATCTTTTTCGACTGGCACGCGCGTTCAAAAACAAGCGCAGATAAACGCGCGAGCGGCGCTGTCGTCGCTCCTCGCAACCGTCACGAGACCCTTAGTGAGGCAGAAACCAGCCAGTGTTCAGCACGGCAGCGAGGGGAACTGAACGGCTCACAGACTGAAACACAGCACAGCCTCTCTCAGTTTAAAGGGGAATTCCACCTGTTTTTCTAAACTGCTGCTTAATTCGACCGTGGAGATGTAAACAAAGCCATTCAGAGCGGTTTGGTGTGAAATTGTACATTGTAGAGAAACTTACGACGTTTTCTTTTACAGCAGAGCTGACTGGAACCGGGCTGGTCATAGGAACAAACGTCTACAACGCAAATGTAGCCATTTTCTTTACTATCGAAAAACAATCAGGGAATCACCTGTGCTTTCAGTTTGAGATGTTGATAGTGGTATAAAAAGGTTTTCTTGAGGGAATTTTGCTTCACATGTACCTTTCTGCTATGAATGTACTTAAATGTTTGAGGCCAAACCCTTACCTCAAAACTATCATAGATCAGTCTCAGCCATCTACAATGCATTTGTTATCATTTCATGTAATAACTCTCTATGAGGGGGCTTTTAGAAGTATTCTACCAATTTTTCAAAATTTAGGAAACAAATTTCACAATCCAGTGGTCAAGATGTAAAGTATAATCCCACTGTTATTTTAAAATTTCTGCTTAATTCAGTGGTTGAGATGTAAACAAAGGCATTCAGAGTGGTTTGGTGTGAAATGCACTGTTCTAGAGAAACTTACTTACTTACTTACTTAGATTTCTTTACAGTGGTGGTGGAACCAAGGGTCTCGATGTCTACAACACAAATGTAATTATTTCATTTACTATCCAAAAGGAGCTTTTTGAGTTTTAGTATGTAATGTTAATATTGAGAAAATAGAAGGGAATCCAAAAAATTAATGTTTTCTTTGAGAACTGTTTTGCCGTACAGCACCCTGCATGCACCCCTCTGCAATGACTGGGTTTTAAAAATTGTGTTTTTGGTCAAATCCTTATAGCAAAACTACAGCATATTTGTAACCATTTAATGTAATAACTATGTGACATAGCTTTTATATAGTGCTGTGAAAAAGTATTTGCCCCTTTCCCAATATCTTCTATTTTTGCGTATTTGTCACACTAGAATATGTCAGATCATCAAACTACTTGTAATATTTGACAAAGATAATCCACGTAAACACAAAATGCTGTTTTTAAAGGATGATTGTATTTGTTGAAGGAAAAAATGCTGTTCCGCCCTATCTGGCCCTATGTGATAAAGTAATTGCCCTACTAAATCAATCAGTTAACCAAATTCAATTGACTGTTGGGTTCATTTTCACTGCCACACCCAGACATGGTTACTGCCAGACCTGTTGAGTCTAAACATGACTTAAATAGACCCTGTCTGGCAGTGTGAAGCAGACTAGAAGGTCTCAAAAAGCAGCACATGATGCCACATTCCAAAGAGATTCAAATGCAAATGCGAAACAAAGTCATTGAAATCCACCAGTCTGGAAAGGGTTACAGAGCCATTACTAAGACTCTTGGACTCCACAGTGAAAGCCATTATCCAAAAACTTGAAGTCAGCTATTCACTAGCTTCTTGTTCTAATTTTCCCATTCCACCTTAAATGGTACAGCAGTTACGTTCTGGCGCTTCAGGCGTCAATACTGCTGGACTATTTAAGGTGGAACGGGAAAGTTAGCTAGCTAGCTGCCGAGACATTAGCGTACTATTAGCAATTTTTTATGCTTGTTATGAAGAAAACAACCGTAATACATTGAAACGACATTAAACTAAGATAATACAATGGTTATCATAATTTGTTAACGGAGAAAACACTTAAATTTGTGGGTTTCTATGGTCACTGCACAGCCATCTTCCTGGTTTTTCTTTTTTTCTCATAACAGTCTGTTTAGAGTATGCCTCTTAAAAACCTCCGTTTGGAGGGCCATGTAGCCCTAACATTTCGCCCTACCCCTCTATCTCAACAAAAATTGGGACTCCCTACCCCTAGACGTGAACGCGCAGAACAGAGGGCCAAGGGCTAAGTGGTAAGGAATGAATTATGTAAAAACGTGAAAAAAAGTGCTAGAATTCCCCTTTAAAGTCTTCAGATGTCCGGTTCCTACAATTCTGTAAAAATTTCTCATTTCACTTTAAACCACTCTGAATAACTTTGTTTTCATATTAGCGAGTTAATTAAGGAGACAATTTTGAAAATTGGTGGAATTCTCCATTAAAGTGAACATCAGACCTCTACCTCACCACGCAGGATTTTTCTACTTTTGATAGAACAGAGTAAGATACAGATTTATAACAATTAAGGCCAGTTACATTAGTCATGTGTCAACTGGTCACATGTGGGCATGTGGGTTCTTGTTTAAATTTTTCCATTCCACCTTAAGTGGTGCCTCATGTGTCAGAACTGCTGCACCATTCAAGGTGGAATGGGAAGTTTAGCTAGCTAGCGAGACATCAGCATACTACTAGCGATTTTTTATGCCTGTTAAGAAGAAAAGGACCGTAATACATTGAAACAACATTAAACTAAATCAACTAATGCCTCTGAGAAACCTTCATTTGGAGGGCCATATAGCTCTAATATTTCGCCCTACCCCTAGGTGTGAACGTGCAAAACAGTGGGGTAAGGGCTAAGTGGTAGGGGCAAGGGGTGAAATGGGATTGGACCTTAGATTGGCTTGATGAATGGAATGAAGCTATGAGCCTTGTATCTGTGCAGTTAAATTTTCCCGATCTTTTTTTAAACAGTCAAAAAGACAAAATCTAATTTAATCTTATTTGGATTACTGGTGTAAAGTTCACATTACCCATATTCACAAACACTGAGGCCTCAGAAATAGCGACATTGAACCACTTTTAACTGTTTCCTATATTCTGGTGACTTTAATGTATGAATCCATAATATTCACCTAACAGCAAATGCATCATGAAATTAAAAAAGTGTTTCTACAATTTTTTTTTCAGGTTGTGTCAACAAAATAAAGCAATGGTAACCCCTGATATTTGTATACTGGGTGTTTTTTAGTTGTACTGCAGCCACACATTAGCACTACATGTTAATAAATAATATATGTCCTCTCATCCACACAAAAATACTGATAGGAGCATTATGCTATGTGACTCTACTAACTGGATAAAAAACCCATTCATCTAATGCACGTCCTCTGCTCCTTATATTCTTAAAGTAAGGCAAAATGCAATCACTCTCTTTGACTACATTAAAACAAAAGTGATATAGTGTCAGCATAGAAGAAGATGCGGACAACTTGGGCAAATGCTTTTATTTTGAACAGGCACTTCAACAGGCAGCAAGAAATGCCCAGACCAGCACTAGTGGGAGAGGGTAATGTGAGAGGACACAACATACAAAGAGGGTAGACTCTTCTCTCCTCAGACACAACTACTCTAACAACAACAACCTCAGTAACAAGAGCAACAATAACTGTCCTGTTTAAAACCGGAGTGTGGTGCTTCTCAAGAGGCACTTTGCATGGCCACACATTCTCAGGGCAGTGTGGCCTGTGGCAGACACAGTAAACAAGAAAGTCTTATTCTCAGCATGTCCAGTAAATAGGAACTTCTGTGAAGGACTTGAATGCTGTATTGACTTTGCCATTTTCCTGTATTGATCAAATTTGCATTAGCTGGCTAGCTTCATGCAGCATTAAAATTACATTCTAAAAGGGAAGACGTGTGAGCCAGAACACTGGATTAGGGCAATGAAAATCAGGAGTTGGCACCCTGGCCCTCATCTTCACCACTCCACCTTTATGTTCCCCCAAATCTGCCCCAGGTTTTAGTCAAGAAAGCCTTTATTTTTATTTTCGGCACTGTCACAGAGCATTTTTGCTTTTGCAGACCCCTAATTAACAAGCCTTGGGTGCCTGACAGGTAAAGCTTCCTAAGAAGTCTCCTAAGTGTAGAGGAATGAAGACTCAAAAAAAAGAATGCATCCTCCTTTGGACAACACCAACAGCGGAATATATGCTATTATGGACACATAGAACAAAGGCCAGTGACATAAGCCAGCAACCAAAGCTAAAAATGTGTTAAAATATTAGTGGGATTGTTGATTGAACTGGACATATATAAAACATGAGAACATGTTTAGAGGTTCATTATGAGCATTTGGCTTGGTTTAGAACATCAAAAAGTAGTTTAGTAGTTCATACTGATGTAAGCCTATATGGCTGCTCAGAAATCAAGAAAGTTGAGAGTTCTTGAAACTTGTAAACTGTTTATTAAAATTAATGGAGCTGTCGAGTCATCAAATAGCAGTCGAGCTAACACAACCCAACAAAGAGACAAAGCAGACTGTTGGGATATGTGTGGAGCACAGAGAACATATAGCAATAGTTAGGTGAATCAGATACACAATTTTTCTGTTACCTCAGATGTAGCCCATCTGCTCAGACATGGTCATGGTGGTCTGAAGTTTGCTTCTCTAGCTTTGCACTGGAGCTAAAAGGCTAATGTAGCTAACAAGTAATAGAAGTAATCCATGCCTCACTAATTTATCACCCAAACTACATGCATAAATCATTACACGTTTGCCTCAGAACACATTGAGTTGTCAAGTAATCTTAAATAGAGTTGATTATGTGGTTTCTGACACTCTGTGGCAAAGTACAGACAAAGTACAGACAAGATGGCACCTGCTGTGTGTAGCTGCAATATTTATTGTTTTCATTTCAGTTCATTTTTTAGATAACAGCGTGTTACATAGTGTCTGAAACGAAAAAAGTTAATTTAAGTGCTTGAAGGGGAACTCCACTGATTTTCCAGAATTTAAACTTGATTTTCTTTACGGTGGTGGGAATAGGAACTAGGGGTCAAGATGCCTACAATGCAAATATAACTATTATATAAACTACCCAAAATGAGCAGTGAAGCTATACGTGTCCTCTGAGTTTTTATATGTGATGTTAATGATAGCAAATAATAGTATTTTGCCTTGCATGTACCTCTGCGCCATGAATGGATTTAAAACTTTTTTTAATAGATTTAGGACAGTGTGTTCAGTGTATTCAGAGTATGTGTGTTGCGTATAGTAACAGGCAGCTCCAATACTATGGAGTAAAACCATTACAAGTCTCTAGTAATATTTTGTAATTAATGCAGGATTTAAATGGCTGATAATAGGCTTAATATGCTCAGACTTTGTGCTTCTAGTTAGAACTGTGGAACAAAAGACACTTTATAGGTGAAATGAAATTAGTAACTGAAGCATTATAAGACACTAAAGAACACACTATGTGGAATATATATGGTAATATGGGTTGCTTTTACTGACTCTTCGCAAAATCTCTGTGGCCTGGGAAGATTAAGTTTTTGTCGAAGATACACTGGTTCCGTACCAACAATGCAATGTACAGTACTGTGTAAAACTCAGAGACCACCCTTCATTTATTTAATTTCCAGTCAACATCACTATTAATTAGAGTTATGGAACCTCTACCTTCTCTCTACCTTCCGTTTCCAGTGACAAATTATTCGCAATCCCCACCACCAACCCATCTCCTCCCTGTTCCTCAGTCTTATGTCAGTCCTACCACAGTTAAAAAGGGGAGTCCAGCCTTCCAGCTCCAAACAAAAGCCCCCAATAATTGCAGCCCAAGTTCTCAGAGTTCTCTCCTCACCCCTCAATCAGCCACCTCTCACAGCACCACCGTTCATTATTTGTTATTAGCTAATACAAAGATATATTTCTGAGAAAATTAAAAATAAGATAATCGACTTGCATAAGGAAGGGTAAAGTCAAGGTAAAATAAGTGAAAATTGCTGTTTAGATATACAGATCTCTGGTCTCTCTAACACAGATCAGTGTACCCACAATGAGAAGGCTAGAACTACAAACTGAAAGCCTTTAGAGTTTTAACATCTGTCATTTCTGCTTATAGATAATCAATAAGTTGTACTCAATTGCCATTTTGACTGGAAATTAAGTAAATGAAGGTTGATCTCTGACTCTTGCATAGTAGCATAGCTCACAACATCTCAACTACTTTTTGAAAAAAAATCCGTGTTACATTTTACTGCATTATTAATATTATTATATAGCATTTATTCTGATGTTAGATGGGTTTTAAAAACAAAAACACATTTATTGTCCAGATGGGTGTAAACTCTGCTTATGTGACTTTTGCATAGGTCAGTATGCTTTTGCATGCAGTCAAGTGTAGGAACATTGCAAATAATTTGGAAATGGAATTTTTCTATTGCACCATTTGCAATACAACTTAGAACAGATGGAAGCGCAAGTGTTTCTTTTATTGAGTAAGACATTTCATTTCAAACTCTCTGTGGACTTGATGAAGTTTTTATCCACCAGACATAAGTTCAACACCGAAAGTGCAAGAAGGGCTCTCGAGCTGAACTCTGATGCCACCCTGTGGACATGTAGAAACTAACCCCTCCCTTCTCTCCATCCCGCCCCTCTCAGCTATGACCTACACAGGCAGGAGACATTTCTCTGTGACTCATCTGCTACAACACAAGACTAGGAAAGACTAATCCTTCACTAAACCTGCGTAGATAAAACGTAGCTGGTGGGTAGCAATTATGCCAAAAGAGATGTTTGCTGGATGTAAACATTTGCCTTTAATAAGACGCTGAGTTTTAAGACGCTAAAGATACTGACTGTACTTTTAAAGAGCAATTCCATCAGTTTTTCAAAACATGCAGAAATGTGCAAAATCTGCATAATTGACTTGCTGAGATGTAAACAAAGTAATTCAGAGTGGTTAAATGTGAAATGGTTCATTGTAGAGAAACCTACAGGAACCAGTGGCGATACGAACCAGGGGGCACAATGTCTACAACACAAATATAGCCATTTTATTTACTGTCCAAAGCGACCAGTGAACCTACATGCATCTCCTGAGCTTAATATGTAATGTTGATGGTAAAATACTGGATAATCTCAAGAAGTAAGTTTTCTTTGGGGCCTATTTTGCCTCACAACACCCTATATGTACCCCTCCACCATAAATGTCTTTTAAAAATACATTTTCGACCAAAATTCTACCTCAAATGAAACAATGTCTCAGGCATCAGGCAACGTATTCTTAACCATTTAACTGTGAATAACTTTGTTTCTCTAAAGCAGAACATTTTACATCAAACCAAACTCAGTAATGATTTTTGATTTTTGTTTACATCTTAAAGGGCACATATAATAATTTCTTCCCCTTGAGGTCCACTTGTAACATTTGAGTGATTTTATGTTCCAAAAATAATCATAATTCATTTTTACTTGATGACTTTCTAACTCCACTTTATCTCTTACAGTCAAACAGGCTGTTTTTGTTCAATGCCATATTTAAATGAGCTCTGTTACGATTGGCTGTCCTGCATTGTGACTGATTCAAAGGCACTCAGAAACAGCTCTGAAACGCTCCTTGTAACTTCAGTGTGAATGGGCAAAGCTAAAATGCTGACAGCTGAATAGGTGGATGTATGTAAATGAGTTGGTTCTTGAAGCTTAGCTTCTATATATGGGCTGTATGGACAGAGTCGTAAATGGTACGTTTTGAAACTTTCACAATGTGTACATACTACTTTAAAATAATTTATTTATAAAAAAAAATGTGGTCAATTTGTTTTTCCATGATTTGGGCCCTTCAACAGTTTAACTATGCAGAAATGTTGAAAATGAGAAATTCTAAAATTCCCCTTTAAACAGCTACACTTTCTTTTTTATAGTATGGTTTATGGGTAGAAAAATGACAGTGAGTGTGTAGTAAGCTTGTTAATGATTTACCAAACTGTAGGACAGTTATGTTAGCAAGATAACTTGAATGAACAGTCGCATTCTTTTCTACTGACTCAAACACCTATAATCAATAATGTACTTTTATTTAATACACTTTACTAGAGTATACTTTCTATTTACCATGCGGTTATCACAGATTACTTAGACATACTTTCATATTTTATAACATGACGGAGAAAGTTAATTTATTCCATGAACAGTACTGAGAAGCTGCTGCTGAGGTAGGGCAAAATGGGAAACTCTACGGCTTGCACGATTTCTGTGCTCTGTGGATTTCCTCTGGTCTCCGCCCGAAAACAACCAGGGGTCACTGAGCAACCTTGTGTTTGCATGGCAACCAGTAACAGAGACTGACCGCAATGAGGGGCCACACCCACTTACACAAGGCGGGCAGAGAGAGAAGGAAAAACTATGACAAAGCTGGAAAAAACGGGGATACAACATTGTGTCATTCCTTAGCACCACCGCTCAAAATAAACAGTGAATAATCACTGTTTTTTCAGTGCCTTGTGATTAAAGCACCACTCCTTCTAGGCCTCAAGTCTGTAGTGCTTGTAGGGTTTAGAACATACTGAAGATTCAGCACTGAGGTGTTAGGATGTAGTTCATTTACAGCACAATGGCTAAATGAAAATACACACACACACATCTTACACACACACACACACACACACACATATATATATATATACATACATATATATATATATATATATATATATACATACATATATATATATATATACGTGCATATACATATATATCTGAGAAGGTTAGCTGTGACTTAAAGGGGAACTCCACTGACTTTCCAAAAATGTCTGCATTATTCACTTGTTGACATGTAAACAGAGTTATTAAGATTGGAATCCACCGTTCTAGAGCAACCTATCGACTCAGATTTCTTTAGAGTGGTGGCGATAGGAACCTGGGATGTCTACAGCGTAAATATATTGTATTAACTATCAAAAACCTCTGGCAACCCATTACATCTTCTGAGTTTTTATATGAAATGTTAGGTAATAGTTAATTTTAATAGTCAATAAATAGAAGTAAATCAAAATACATTTTAGGCCAAAAGCTGTCCCAAAACAACTGTAAAACAATCAGACATCTCAGGCATCAGACAGTGTGTAACCATTTCATGTAATAACTCTTAAGCTTTTAGGTTAAACTCTTCAGACGTCTGGTTCCTATCACCACCACTGTGAACAATTCTGACATGTAGAACAGAGCATTTTACATCAAACCACTCTGAATGACTTTATTTACACCTCGACCATCCAATTAAGCAGAACATTTGAAATAACAGCATTATTACACTTTAAACTGTGTTCAAAAACCCAACCCACAGGCCAAGGAAACTGAAGTGCTGTTCTGAGCTGTAAAACAAAGTATGCAGGGCAAAGAGCAGAATGTCATAAACAGGCATGTCGTACTGGACTTTTACCCCAAAGACTGTGCATTGAGTCAAACCACCAAATGGGTCTGTGAACATATCATTCACCCTTTTTCTTGATTTTGCTTTCTTTTATTCATACAAACAACACATACAACGCTTATTTCCAGTTTCAAAGGAATTGGTACAATCTGTATTTTTAAAAGACAACATGATTATCATGTCAACTTTTACAATAAAAAAAAAAAAATTCTTGTTGCGCTCCTCATTTTCGGGCTGCCATCTTCTTCAAGTGCAACTGATAACACTGCTCGCAGGCGATGGACAGCCCCACCACTAAAGACACAAACTCCTCAAAGCTCACTTCTCCATCTCGGTTTGTGTCCAGGTCCTTCATGATCTTGTCCACTGTGAAAGGGTCCTTCTGAGACTGCAGGATGAGAGAAAGAGAGTGAGTATAAAGATGTATAAGGAGAATCTACCAACCAAACCTCAATTTCACATTCTCAGAGCTTTAGAATTGGAGTTACATAGTAACTACTTATATTTACTTAGTAAGATAGACGTAAGCAAAAAATCTGATGAATTTGTGTTTGAGTATTTTTTTTTTTCCTGATGATCACGTCTGCTCAATTATATTTGTGAGGAGAGTAATCTACTTTTTACTCAGTTACTTTTCACAGTTACTGAGTCCTTTTTGTCAGAGGTAGGGAACTGTTTTCATGAAGGGCTGCATTCCTGCACAGTTTGGTCATTTTCCTGCTTAAACACACCTGATTCAACTCAGCAGTTAATTACCAGGTTTAGTTGAGAAATCAGTAAACTGTGCTGGACTCAGGTCCTCTGCTCCACATCCCTGCTTTTTGCATCCAATTTCAATCTGTTCTGTTTGTGAACAGCACCTGGGCTGCTGCCCACACCTCTCATTTTCGAGCTTTAGCATTTTATTTTAGACATGAAGGATCACAAAAAGAGATAAATAACACCTTCAATTATGCTAATTATGCTTCTTGTTGTTTTTGGTACTTGAGTCATTATTTCAATAAATCACCAATAATTGAGTACAAACGTAGACTTCCACCTATGCATAACTGAAGACTTATCATGGGAGAATTTAACCAAACTGTATTTAAAAACGATGACTTGGTAATGAAGGAACCTCAAGATTTAAAACACTCTGCGAGTAGCAATAGCAATATATACAAACATCAACTGTACAACAATGAAAACTCTCACAGACTCTCCATCCTGGATCTGTTCTGGCTCTTTCCATCCATCATTACCAGCACCTGTGTCCTGTTTATTCACATTACTTTCACCTGTGTCTAGTTTCCTCTTCTTTTTATTGTTTCTTTGTAAAGTATTGTAGGTGTTTGTGCTGCAACCATGGAGCCTGAATGTGTTTCCTAAGTACCTTGTTCCTGAGTTCTGCTATTTGTTTTTCCCTGTTTCTCTAGTTTCCACGTTTCTAGATTAATCCTGTGGTTTGGACATTTGTCGTCTGTTTCCACACTCTTTATTACACATCTGTCTACTTTAGCACATCTGCCAGCTCCCTTTATTATGACCATGATCACTGGATTGGCCCAAAGAGATTCGTTCTTACATCTGTCTACTCATCAGTTCCAAAACTTAACTCTATTTCACAGTCTGAAAAAAAAATTCTAGGTTCTCAGAATAGCCTAAAACTCATCTCTCTGCTCTGCACTGCCCTTATGGTCATTATATATTGTTTATGCAGGTACATTTTCTGCATATTATAATACTGTAGGATTTGCACAATAACTGCACAATCTTACTGTACAGCTGCTATTTTTATCTACTATCTCTACTTATGTATGTGCATGTGTGTGCAAGTTGCATTCAATGTGTGTACTTAGTGTATTCTATGTTTATTGAAGCTGCAATATGTATAGAAGTCAACTGTGTTGGATGTGGTGTGTCGTGAGCAAACATCAAGACAAATTCACCTTGAGGAAGTTGGAGAGTTCGTTTTCCATCAGTTCTCTGAGCTCTCTGCGGCTGAGAGTGTTGCTGTTTCCCTCTCTGGCAGCATATCGGTGGAAAACCATGATGAGAGACTCCATGGCCTTTTCTAGTTCTGACGGCATGGCTGTTGTAGTTCAACACTGAATGTGAGAGAAAGAGAGGGAGAGAGAAAAAAAGAGAGACTCCAAACTTAGTTAAACAGTAGTAACCAATACATATACATTGCAGTGATCTGGTCACTGGTGAATATGAACTATTGAAGAAAATGATGTCATCAAAACTATCATTCAATGCTCTCGAAGTTTATGTGAGAAATTCATCAGGGGGTTGTTCCCTTTTTCCCGGGAGTGTGTGCCACTCTCCACATGAATAAAGCAGTTTTTTGTGCTGGAATGACTGTGGGCTCATTTGATGAGTAATGCCCACAAGAATAAACATGGAAACTGACATACACACATTCAAACAAGCAAGAACACACACACTCACACACAGCCAGTCGCATTAGCAGATCTACAATTAAAAAGTTGAGAGAAGAGATGAAGTTCGGCAAGTGGAAAACAGAAAGAAAGCGTCCAACTGCAGAATGTAATGGTAGTGAGTGCTCGTCCAACTAATTATGAATGACTGGAAAAACAGAGGACATACTTTGGAAAATGAGAGAGGGAAAAGAAGTGGGAGAGAGGATGGAGACGGCCCTGCATAGTACAACATTTTTTTTTGGAACTGACCCAAGATAAGCCACTCCCTAACAATATCTGAAGATGAAGGAGACCAAAGAAATGCTTTTGCAAGCCTGAATACAGAAGACAAGATAGATAGATAGATAGATAGATAGATAGACTGAAAGACAGACAGACAGAGAGATGCAGAGCAAGACAGGTTCAGAGTATATGTGTAGTCGCTAAAATAGCCTTTAATCCAAAATCTCAGACAACTCAAATTAATAACTAGAACATTTCTTACTAATTTATTATTATTATTATTATTACTTTTATTATTATTTATTATTAAAAGTTTCTTCAATTATTCTTTAACAATGGTTATACATGTAGAACCGTGACAACTCAATGTTAAACAGCTCTTAGCATGATAAAACGGTTCTTCTCTAAGATGGAATACCTGTTGTATATACTTCTTTGGAGAACCTTTATAAATGGTTCTAAATGTCACCAGAAAGTGTTCTGCTAAGTCACAGAACCTTTTTGGTACTATACAGAAACCATTTTTGCTAAGGGTGTTGGGGTTCTGTACTCAGAATAAAACAATAAAACCTACATTCATAAACGAACTGACTGAAGCTGCTCTGCTCGACTAGCACGGCTAACCGTCGTACAGACCTAATTAACTTAGAGCAGCGCTGATTCACGCAGTCCAAGTAAATTATAACCAAACTAGCTAAAAGGCTGAATACAGGTTAGAGAACAGAGCAGTGATATTGGTACAATAATATAGCACACTTTTAGCATTTAGCATGTTTAGACGCCAAAGCAGAAGCTAAAACATATAAAACAGAACTCTTATCTTACCGAGCAGCTGAGTGAGAGAGAGAGAGAGAGAGCAGGTAGCGGAGAGCTGGGCGCTGTCAGAGAAGTGCAGAGTTTAAGACTTCACTCAGACTTTCTACCCAGACTCCACCCTTCCGAGAGAGAGAGAGAGAGAGAGAGAGAGAGAGAGAGAGAGAGAGAGAGAGAGAGAGAGACTGACTTATCAGAGTTGAGCAATGTGCTGATGATGACGGTATCCATGGTAACGCCGAAAAGAGTGAGTGAGTTTGTCATTACTACTAAGTAATGGAAAGATGTTATGACGTGAAAGTGAGACATGAACACACATTACACATGAAACAGGGCACTGAGTAAGCTGAGTAGACTTAGATGAAGGTCTGTGTTCACCTTGATTCACCTGTTTACTGCACTACACTGTCTTGCAGAGGTGGGCAATGTGGCAAACATGTAACATTAACACATTTGAGCGAATCAGTAAATCCAGTTAAACAGGACTAACTGTGCTCTTGTAAAGAAACATATGGTTAGTCAGTGCTCTTGAGTTACTGATGATTTCCACAAGCATATTGTGACATAACATGACTCAATTTATCATTATAATGAAGAATATTGTCATATTGCCCACCCCTGCTATCTAGACCAGGGCTGCCCAAAGTGTGGCCAAATCAAACGGCCTGACGGGCCATCTTTGGGCAGATATTTTGATCAGAAGGTTACCCTAAATTCACCCCTCACCAAAGAAAACATTTTTATACTACTATAGCTTATTCTATTCTTATTTTGCTTCTTATTCTTTTTCTTATTTTAAGTACTTTAATAACCAAACCTAGTCTAATGTTAAAAAATATATTTTTTGGCCCCCCCAAGTCAGCAAGTTTGTGCCCCCCAATCTAGTCGAACAGTGGGCCTCATTCCTCAAGAAATTTCTTCCTAAAACCCACTTGCGCAGTTTTCACTAAGATTTTGACATTCACCAGTGTTTTCTTATTTGGGATTTGTTCTCAGGTAAGAACAGAATCTACACACACTCAAGAGCACAAAGGTGTGAACAGTTCTGTGGTAGAAGAACACGTCATGAATCTGATGTAGACTTTTTCTCAGGACTTTTCTCAAGAACACATTTAAGAAAAAACTTAAGAAGATATTGGTGAATGAGGCCCATTGTGTTCAAAATGGTTGACTCATTTAGCCCCACTTACAACATATCTAGAAAAATCTGTGTGCATCATTATGTGGGGAATCAGCCAACGAGACAAGATGATAATTTCAGACGCCCTGTTCTAAGATGTGCTGATGGAAGGAAAAAGACATAATTCTTGTTTTAATCTTTGATCAAAAAATAGTGTCTTTTGCCCATTTCAAAAATGTCCTCTGATTTTTTTTGTTACTGCACCCCAGCAGACAGGGGAAAAATATTGACCAATAATATCATGTTTCACCTCCCCCTCCCATCCATCATCGAGCAAAAATGCTCAGCTACCTTAGAGACCGTGCCAGTACTGTGTATTTCTCACAGAGCAGAAGGAAAACGTTTTATAAATTTATATTGACTTTAAGTGTGTTTAAAACCAAGTCCTTTTTGTACTACTGAGGTGGAAATATAAATAGAGGACAAATGAATGAATATCCATGGCAACCATCACTGAGTTAAATAGGCCTTTACTGCAACCTGGCAACACAAAATCTAAAAAGAAGCCATAAAGGCTTTTTAACTCACTGAAAAGTGCCATGGATTTTCTCTTTTTCACAAGCTTTTGATCCTCAATCCATAGAGCACCTTCAATATTTGTATATTCATCTACCAGTCGCACTCTGTATGTTTGTACTTAAAAAAATAGAGTATTTTCACTTGTAGTATAATACTAATTTACCAAGAGTATTTATAATTTCACTCAAGCGCAGAGGTTTTGTCATTTGTTCACAACTGTCTGAAACATAGAACTGAATTCTGTTCATTTTTTTATACTGCTAAACAGGTAAAGAGCTGGCGCCCTCTGCTGGGCAATAGAGGATCCGTGTATCTTCTGTTCATTTGATTTTCATTTTGAAATCCAGTATTGAAAACTGGGAAATGGGTCAATTCTCGTTTTTGGTTCGGTTATTGTCAGTGGAAAAATCAAGAAACAACGTATAACTCATAAAATCAAATAACAAACAAACAGAAACAGAATAAAGAGTCATTCATGCACACTTAAAAATTACCATTACTTTAAGCGGAAGTAAAGTGCAGAGCGCAGAAGCTCAGGCCTGTTGTTCTGACATATTGGTAGACTTTATTGTGTTTTGTGTAGGTGTTTGTATATTTGACGTGCACAGCTGTGCTCTACCTGCAAACCAATGAAATAATATGATAAAGAGACTCCCGTACTGCACTCCCGCCACTTAACGCGAGGGCTTCATACTCCCCAGTTCACGTTACGAAGTATTCTGTCGGTGTTGTGTCGAACTCATACCCCTCTTGGCGTGCACGCGCGTCACGCAGGCATATGGACAATAGATTACAGTCGATTTCGGTTGCTTCTGTGTGTAAATAACAGTTAATCCTGACTTTTCGTTAACAGTACAACAGGACCTAAAGCCAAACACAGAGTCTCACAGTGAGAGTTTAGTTTAATAGGCCTCATGAAGACGTTGGTTGTTGGTGCAGCACGCGGGGGATTCAATGTTTTTTAGTAATAATGATCAGTACTGAGCGTCTTGGAGAAGAAGGAGAGACTGTGATTCTGCTACGAGAAGTTCTCTTTGTTTACATCAGCAGAAAGGGCTCATACAGAGCAGCCCGTTAGCAGAGAAGGTTACCTCCGCTTAACCCAACTGACTAAACCTAGGAACAGCTCCAGGGGAGGCTAGAGGGTGCTGAAGCCCCCCTGAAAATCGTTCAGCATCCCTGTTAGCACCCCCGAAAAACGTTCATTTACCGCCATTAAACGACCTAATTTTTGTTTTAACTTTCACTAGCCCATCATGGTATAAAAGCCAGATCTGTCACTCACTCATATTCTTGATAAAACATATTATCACACTTATTATATTTAAAAATAAAGACGTGCACTGTCTGCATGTAGCTTGTTCAGCCAGAGGAATGAAAATAAACCTCACTCCATCTCTACTTTTGCTTCTGCCTCAGTTTTGTTTACTTTCTAGACCAGATGGCGGCAAAAGTGAGAGTGGAGAGTGGAACCAACCGAACCAAATTAAAAACACATACAGTCACAGTACACTTTCGGATTACACTCACAGTAACCCAAACTATGGTTCGGACTTTAGCAAATGAAACAGCCATAATACAGAATCTTCTCCACACTGAATTCAAAATTTTGGTTAATGATTCGCTGTTAAAACTACTAAAAGCTTAATGTCTAATGTCTTTTTTGCACAGGAGTGTATGTAGTGCATACTGGAAGAGCAATAAAGAGAATCTTGTTATCTTTTTACATTCTTCAGTCAGCTTAAAGATTTCTGCGTAAGTTAATTGTCAAGATGCAAGTACGGTCATTCGGGGTGGTTTGGTGTGAAATGTTCTGGAGAAACTTGCCGAGTGAGGTTTTTTTACACTGGTGGTGATAGGAACTAGAAGTGCCTCTAAAAAGCTACTTCAAAGATAGAAGTTGTTATGAATACATTGCCTGATGCCCGAGACACTGTGTTATGATAGTTTTTCGATAACTTTTGATCTAATATTATATATATCAAGCTCAAGTCCGCTTCGCTGGCATTTGAATTTTCCGTTCCACCTTAAATGGTGCTGCAGTTACACTGAGGTGCCTTAAACGTAGAATGAATTTCCAAATTGGCGAATACAAAGCCAACATCAGCTTACCTCAATAAATGCATTACTTAACCCCAGTAAATGCATTAATTTACCTCAATAAATGATCTTTAATCAACAAATACCTCAAACTCTCGCCTGGAGATGTTTACAGAGCAGCTAACCAGCAGTACAGCGAAGCAGCTGTTAATCTCGTCTCACCGGTTGATCTAACATCGCGTCCCAAATCACACACTTCTGTAATTTACCTACTACACTGATGAGTGCACTTCTAACGGTGTATGCATTATTTTTGCATACTATTTAGTGTGCTAGTATGCGGTTTGGGACGTGAAAGCGGGAAATCTCAGCTGTTTAGATTTTAGCTTTCACTTGCTATCGCTATAGCAACAAATAAAGTAGTCAAATAAAATCAAGGCAACACACTCAAATATATCAGTTAATAAGCTTTAAAAATGAGATTTAAAAATGTTTTTTAAAATGTTTCCCTGCTTTTGCTGGATCGGTTATGGCTTTGTTATCTCATTACAAACCGCCACAGCACCGCTACGTGAACTTGGAAGTTGCCAACAGAAATGGTTGCAGCGCGATTATGACGTCATCGGAATACGAACGATCGCGTCACTCGTCCATGCTGACGTCACAGTAGGGCACGCGAGGGTATATATGTGAGCTTCATTAGGGAAGAAATGACTTTTGGATTTTCATCCGATCAGTGAAGTTCTTTGGGAGTATTACACAGTTTTTTGCGCAAAGTCTTTTTACAGACTCGTTTTTCTTCTTTCATCTTGTAATTTGCCTTCTTTCAGCATTCTTTTTTAACACCTCATTTTGAGTTTGTTACTTTCCATCTATTGTCATTTCTGAGGTTATGAAGGAGGACAACTATCAGAGGAGGAGTAAAAGGACCACCCTAATGGAGAAACGACAGGTTCTACAGCCTCTCACAGTGAGACGAGAACCCTGTGACGTCACTAGTAGAAAGGGCAGTGGTTCCTTTTCTGGAGAGATCCACACCTCAGCTCAGTGTCCACACACTCATCTGACCCCACCTGCTGGTCCAAAGCCCCAGAGGCCCGTGTCACAGAGGAGACGTGGAGCCTTAATGAAAGCACTTGAGAAGGTAGTGCTGGAAGATGAAAATGAAAACACAGAGCTCAAAAAAGACATCCCAGCAGAAGATGAAGCTCAGACTGGACAGCAAAAAGAAGTGCAGAACAAAGATCAAGAACAGGAGATACATGAGCACGTTGAGGACTCCTCTCAGGATGATGATAGTGCTCGTGAACCTGATGCTGCTCCTTCAGTAAATGAGCAGGACGTCCCTGCATTCCATCTGTGCCAGAGAAGGAGATCTAAGGCGGAGCTC